AAAACAACACACATCAACTGGGTTTTGTTTCTTTAAGTCTCTGTGGTCGCATATACATTTCATGATGAGAAACAGAACAGGCTAGATCTTTTTAATATTTATCAGCGTTCCATTATAATTCTGCAGATAGTGAGCAGTCAGGGCTCAGACTCCAGAGAATGTGCATGTGCAGTGGTTCTAACCGGTGGGCTAGCTGGCAGGCGTGCAGTCGGACACACTAGATGTATTCATAAATAATTCTCTCACTGTAGCTGCCTGCTACAGCCGGCGGGCACCATGAGCTAAACAGACCATCGACTTAAAAAACTACCCCATTCAAGACGAGTTGAGAGGGTCCGAGAGACTACGTCCTACCCTCTTCATCCCCCTAAATCTGTTTTTCCCTAAATATGCTCCTTTTTCTCTCACTGTTTTGTTAGTTTTCTTACTTATTCTTGTCTTTCTTCATATCAAAGCTAAATAAGTCAGCAGTCCCATGACGGAGCTTGTTATTGTGCATTCTGCTTTATCGTCACACCAAACTGGGACACGGTTGGAATATTCAGGGTCAGAGGACAGCGGGTCCAGCTTCTGGCTTTGGCTCAGGCCCCCATGTTTCAGAAAAGTTTAATTTAGACACCGCTGTGGCACAAGGCAGCAAATGAAAATGTAAAAAAATGACTTAGTGGCAACCATTAAAGAGAATAATGAGCTTCAAAAGCTGAATAATTAAATTCATTTTTCTTTTCATTCTGGTTACATTTTTTAAATCAAGCTCGATTACAACAGTAATGGAGTATCAAAAATAATTGTTGAAACTCTGTTGTAAATGTCAACCCTTCCTAATCAAAAAAACTAAAGTATAGTTTATAAATACACTTCAAGTACCGTACGCTAAAGTCTGTTTAAGATTAATATTAATTATATTACAGAACTGTAATAGGTCAGTTGGTATTGTTTGGGATACGAACATTTACCTTTTTTACTGCTAGGTAGTTAAATCAATAATAAGAAAATCTAATTACATTTTTGTTAATTTGTATAGTGTATTATATAAATAGTCTAAATCTGCAGAATAGCAACTTTATGTATCAAATAAATCTAGTGAACTAAAAATTATAATTTGTTCCTCGTAAACCTAGTGGAGTATACGTATACTTAAGTGGATTAGCGACAGATTTTATTTATTTATTTTTGGAGAAATTAGAATTCCTAGAAAAAAGTCAGAACATGAAAAAAAAGTCAGAATTAAAAAAATCACTGTTGGTAAGATCCAAAAAATAAAGTTCACATGTGGCACTGATAGTCTTCCGTAGAGTTTATTTGGAAAGTAGCTGTAAATAACAAAATATCAATTAAACTACAAAAAAAGGCCGTTCATAGCACAAATTGTGCAGACTATAGTGCAGTCCTTGAGTGAATGTACTCAAATTATTACACATTCACATGGTAAGCATCCTCTGCACCATGTATTACATGTGCTACTGTGGCTTTAAACCAGGGGTGGGGAACCTTTTTCCTCTCAAGGGCCATTTCAATTTTTACAACATCCTCCGAGGGCCGTACAAATGATTGAACTCAACCTCTGCTTAAAAAAACTAAAATCACAGCCCATTATTTTCGCCTTTCTTTCATGCTGTGCAAAGAAAAAGCAACCTCTTAATCTAGATATCTTACCATGACTCGCGCATGCATTCACGTGCACGGTTGTGGAATGACCACCAAAACAGTATTTAAGTACTGTAGGAGGTGGATCTAACCTCCTCTAGGGGGGTCCGGAAGGCATGCTCCCCCGGGAAGATTTTTTTTTAAATGTTGAAGTTAAAAGCATCAATCTGGTGCACTTTGAGAGCAACATTAGGAAATCTATGGATACATCTCTCAACATCCATATGAAACAGAACTGTAAGCAGATTTTATTTTTCTTTATGGATATTTTACAAATCACTCCCCTTTCAAACTGTATTCCTTGTTTATTAATAACAACTTTTTTTTTACTGTCATATAGTATTTTATACCTGTTTACTTTATTCTCTTATTTTTTTAGAACTATAATGATCATATAAAGATGTGCCTTTACCTCTCTGGTTGTAGAAAAAGCTTCTTATATTCGTTAGTATAGCTAGCTAACCAGATGCTAATAACAACAATGTTATTGACTGTATGATCAGTATGACAGATGAACAGATCGCCACTGGGCTTTCAACTAAAGACACAGCCACGCAAAAACTGCGGCATGTGTACGGCTCCTTATGGGTACTGCAATTGTCAGCACTACACCCCTGTCAGACCAGACATATACCACGTGATGACACGTTAGGCTCGTGTTGTGTTCAAGGAAACTGTCCTTGGTCAGGAAAAACAGGCACTCGCTTGTTTAATTCTTTTGCGGTCTAGATTTCTTTAAAAAATAAATGTTGCGTGTGTTTATAAATTACCTCGAGGGCCGTATCAAAATGGTCTCGCGGACCGTATACGGCCCGGAGGTCGGAGGTTCCCCACCACTGCTTTAACTGATGGAGGTGGATGTAAGTGTGTCACTTTGGTTTGGTCATAATTGTGATTCATACACTTGTTATCTGAGGATATGTGCTCATATCACAGAACAGGATCCTCTTACATGTACCTGTAACATTATTTGTTCTCGCCGCACGGTGACAAAGATCACAGTCGATTTCCATGTCCTGGTGCAACTATGAGCATGATGTCGTTACAGTATCTCGGGCTGAGAGTCAATCACTAAAAGTTGAATTAAAATGTGCTGGGAGTAGCCAACATCATCTATGTCTCCTTTTCCCTTTCCTCATCTTTCTTTCAGTCTTCTTTTTTTCACCGTTCTGTGTTATTTCTTCTTCTCTCATTTTTCTTCATCTCTTTCAACTTACTCATATACTTCAGAAAATTATGATGACACAGCAGTGAAGCCCCTTTTGTGCCCCAAACTCACGTTCGGTTCCTCCTTTCCTTCTTGTTCACTCTACTTTTAAACATCCACTTAATTCTTTTTGTCCAATTTCTTTCTTCTTTTGTGACGGTTGAGTCAAATGTTCTTTCACCACACCCAGTTTCGTCTCAATAGAGTTTTAAATGGGGGGGAAACAAAAGAAAGGCACAATCTTTAACAAGTTCTAACCTTGAATATGGCATAGAAATTAAATAAATGATGAAAGGGAAAATTATGTGGGAGTCAGATTTGGAACATTATTCTCAATTATACCACAAAAAACAAGGTCTAATAATATTTAAAGAAGTTATTCAAACCAATTGTTCCTTTAAAATATGTAACAGACATATTTTATTACCTAAGATTACATCTTCTTCACTTGTTTTTGATTAAAACTAAATATGTTCCGTTGTTATTAGATAGAGATAGAGATGAAAGTCCAATAACTTGTGCACATTTTTTTTTTTTTATTGCTTTAACCGTCTCCTTTATGCGTTATTAGTGTACCCGGTAGAGTTGTTCATCTTATGGAGGCTTTCTAAGCCGGCCCTGTTTTTTTGTAATGTTGTTCACAAGGACGCACAAACATCCATGCGAGTAAACACATTCCTATTTAAGGTTTAATATGAAAAGCTTTTTCCCAGAAGACAAGTGCTGCAATGTGCCAGTGTTTTTCAATCCACCTGTTTTGATGCGCAATTTGTATTTTTGCAGGAATGTAAAAGAAAATAAATTAACTATATTAAGGAAGTAAACAAAGGAATCCAAAGGAGGGGTTAGTGTGTGGGAGAGAAACTCCCTATGGAGGGAACTTTGGGGGTTTTATCCTTTGCAGACCATTTATATGACCAAAACTCTATATAACACACTATAGGAAACAAACTGTTCCTTGAAATGTACTATACATTCGGATTGGAAGTAAGAAAGTGTACCAGAATACACAATACAAGGACCCTGAAAGTGAACCAGCTAAATTGAATTAATTCGTTATTTTTGTATTCATGCATCTGATATTTAAAGTGTGATATGTCAACATGTAAAAAATATCTATTTAACGTATTGATACTAACACGAAACCTCTTGTTAGCACATTCAAATGCAGAAAATGTAGGATTTCTAGACAAGTGTCGTTTGAAAAAGTTACATGATTAAAGAAAAGCGATAACATTTGGCCTGAAGACGAAGGTAATTGGATAAAATTAATTTGTGTTGGTTAAAAAATATAGAAATCATTTGAATGCACTCAAAGATTTTAAAGCTGCAGCTCTACTTGGTTGGGTATGACAATTAGCTTAGCTAACGTAGGCTAACAAACCTTAGGCACAAATATCTGTTTAGCTGACATTGCTGACTCAATGTATACGTAAACATAGGGGTTGCTGCTTTAAAGTGATCATCCCGTTTCAAACACACATTCGCACAATTTCTGCTTATGGTTCAATATCCTGGGCTGAAAATCTATATTTGGACCACTCTATTGTTATCATCTCTGAGGTGCCCTTAAGCTGGGCACTTTACCTCCAACTGCTCAAGTGGAGCTCTTCAGTATCAAAAATAGATTGGGTACAAATGCATGCAGCTGCCTACATGTATTAGAGAAGAGCATTCTACCTTTGAAAACGTGAGCAATTTAACCTATTTTTACAGACCAATACGGTAGGAGAGGAGGGCTTTATGTCTGATTAACATAAAAAGCATATAAAACATATAATGCTCTTATATTTCAATTAATAAGAGCTGATAACAGGCCTTATATGTGTTTGAAAAGTTGTAAAATCACAGGATCTAGGTGTCTGAATTGAACTCACGGTGTTTTTTGTTAAATGTGAATGTAAGAAAAATGTCAAAAAGTAAGGAAAATAATGCATAAAGTAAAATAGACCTCACAAAATATTTCCTTTTTTCAGAAAAGTAAGTGCAGGACTGCATTTGTGAGCTTGTTAATATGACAATATGCATGCTTGGCTGTCACCTATCACAATAACAGCTTGTAGCTATGAATGGCATGGCAATTGTATTATTTATGTCTTGCCACAATTAACCTCTTTTTCAATCATTCTCTCTGTCTCTCTCCCAGTGGGATTCCGGGGAAGAAGTGTGGAGTCATTATCTTTACCGCGGAGGAGCTCAGTAACTGCAGGGTCAGTACACACACACACTTACACACACTCATCATGCACACAATCGAAGCGCTGTTGGAATATTCTCATATCGTCTGCATTTTTTTATATGCCCTGATACTGTTGTTGTAATAGCTTGCAATCGGTTCCCCCCTACACACAAACACACCCACGCACAAACACACAGATGATATTTAATGATGGGCCAATCTCTTGCAAAATCAGATCATAAAATGTAACCAATATGCACGAGTTTAATGTGTAAATCTCTGCATTGGGAACTCCACAATCCCAAAGTATTATTTTCAGTGTTTAGATCTGATTCAAATGTGTTTAAAATTAACTTACAAGATGGTTTACATTTATATATTACTACGAAACAGTTAGATACTAACAGGATGTCCTCTGTGTTGTGTGTGTGATGTGTACGTGTGTGTCTCTGTTTGTGCACTCCAGAGATCATTATGTGCTTACCCTGGTTGTGTTTTACCATCGTTATTGTGTGTGTGTGTGTGTGTGTGTGTGTGTGTGTGTGTGTGTGTGTGTGTGTGTGTGTGTGTGTGTGTGTGTGTGTGTGTGTGTGTGTGTGTGTGTGTGTGTGTGTGTGTGTGTGTGTGTGTGTGTGTGTGTGTGTGTGTGTGTGTGTGTGTGTGTGTGTGTGTGTGTGTGTGTGTGTGTGTGTGTGTGTGTGTGTGTGTGTGTGTGTGTGTGTGTGTGTGTGTGTGTGTGTGTGTCAGTACACTGACAACCCCAATCTGTCAATGACAAGCTTAAGATTCCTATGATGGCTTCCTACTGGAGGCAATAACTAAATGGCCTCATTCGGTGCAATCTATCCATCTGTCTATCTATTCATTTCCATCTATTCAATATCAATCAATAAGGATTGAGCAATATGTTAAAATGGCCACCATTAGCCTGGGTTTTTGTGCATGTCCACTGTAGTTTAAGTGGGAAATAAAACGAAATAGACAACCAAAAACCTGCTGGTTATTCTTTTCACTATTCCAACAATTTAAAGCATTAAATTAACAATAAAATCAAAAATACCCCCCTAAAAAGCCTCAACCGGCGATGTACTCAACGTGCAGGCATTACAAAAGCAGTGATTACATTATTTTTCATTAGCTGCTGTTACCATTCATTCATATTCCCAACGCCTTTCTGACTATATTACAGACAATTCATAATAAAAATCCTTTTCTCCCAAGTGTGTGATGTAAAAGAAACGCTGGAATGCAATCACTACAATCCATGCATGCTAGGTTTATTAAACAACAAGTCCTTCAACTCATACGACCAAATAGGTCGATTGTTCAAGCGCTTATTACGACCTATAATCACGTTTTAAAGTTATGGTGGATCATAAATATATCAGCAATTAAACAACATCTTCAATTTCTCTTCACACAATACGTCTCCTTGCAGTATCAACACTAATTCGGCTGACTTTTATATTTGATCCAATTGGTAGATAGGTTATATTTACACCATAACGGTGCACAGCTGATAGAAAAGGACTTGTAGTTTTTAAAAGATATTACTGATTTTCTTTGAATTAAAGAATGTAAATACTGAGTTGAGAGAATAGTCAGGGGTTTTGGGTGATGGGAGACATATCTATGGAATCAGAATTTCAATAGCTTACCATTAAATGACAGATATACCTTTGTGTCTGTGATGTTTAACAAATCAGATATTAATGTGTAGAACCAATATGTGACCCGCTCTATTTTTTCGGGGTTCGGGTGTTTTGTTTGATTTTAAATAAACAAAGTCTTGGCTTTCAGAATATGAAACTTTTATTTCCAAAATCACACGATAAATACATGTTTGAAGCTCGCAATCTGCTCTTCCGCAGCGCCGCACCCCCTCCCTCCGGCTGAAATTATGAATGTAAGGCATATAGTAATCATAGATAACACGGCAGGGTCCGTTACAGTTTGTTTTCATCTGATTTCAAATAAACAAAGTCTTGGCTTTCAGAATATTAAACTTGTTTCGGCAAATGTAGATGATAAATACAACTTTGAAGCTTGTAACGGCATAATTACAAGCGGAGAACGGAGTAATTTAACGTCACAGCAGTTATAACAACAGCCGGTGTTTATCGAGAGTGTTTTCCCCGGGACACAAACACAATATACACAAACGCAAAAATACACAAACACACACACACACATACACACACACACTCGCGAGCTTCCCCCAGACCTGTAATCCAAACGGAAATATTTTCCCTCCGGACTATTTTGATAATTTGCTCCGCTAATAATCAATCAGATCGATGGATTCCAGAGAAGAGGAAACTTTGAAGGCCTTTTTCTCAAAATGATGACTCGGTGACAGTCATTATATAATGTGACATATTTTGCTTAAAGGGCCCATGTCATGGCCATTTCCACTGATCATAATTACATTGTTGAGGTATACTAAAATAGATTTATACTGTGCAATTTTCCAAACTCACATTGGTTTCGCATACAGCATCTCTGTCAAGCATGTGTATTCAGCAGTATTCACTTTCTCCACTAAACGACTCGTTGGAGCTCTTGCCCCCCCCTCCCTGTGAGCCTAGTGTGCTCCGATTGGTCAGCTCGGCCACTCGTTCTGATTAGTCAACCACCAGAGAGGCTGCGCCCATGTCAGTGCTTTTCCCGGCTGCTCTCAGCGTAACATCAGTCTTATCATGGCGTCGGTACAGCGGTATATTTTATATACATATATATTTTTAACTGTTGTTATAGAAGAGTGTGACGGCCCCAGGGCCTTTGTCTTACGATGGGGTGGAGCTGAAGAGGGTAATCAGCGCGATCACGGACACCTCCGGACACTACGGCCCCAGTCTCTCTCCAAAGCGGCTGCAGGAAGACTAACTCTGCGATCCTCTCAACCACCTATCTTTGCATTTACCACAATAAATGTGCCGTGGTTTTGTAAACTCGTGTATGTCTCCTTGTCTTTCCGTTGTGGCCTACGAGCCGCTCATAACAAAGAGTAAGTTATTTTTACCCGTTATAAACTACTACTGTTTGATGAGAAATCAAATCATGGTTTGCTATATATGAATTCAGGGAAGAAAGGATAGGCCTACTAAGTATTTCCATTAAACTTTATTTTTAGAAATGTACAAAATGAACATAAATATACATATATACACGGTATATCATCCATTCCTCCTCCTCTTGCCTGCGCACAGCCGGTGCGGTGCGGTGCCTTTTAGCACGACGCCTCAGTAGTAGTAGAATCCCTTCCCCGTCATGGATTGTCCGCCAGGATCTGGCTGGACGAAATCAAATGCAAATCACAAAATATTAGAGAAACTTAGTTGTTTTAGATTCGTTAGTAGTAGTTGTGTAATGAACAGCTTGCCTGCTAATATGCTAACCTAGCTTTGTTTACCTTGGTAGCTAACACGATATGAACGTTAGCTTGGAGGAAAGGCAACTATAATGCAGTGTAATAAAACTACTATGAACAAAAGCTAGTGGTTCATATTAGGCTAGCAATAACGTGTTTATAATTGCAATCGTATACGGGTATTCTGCTACCATACAATGTAACTTGCATGAATACATTGTTTTGCGCTAGCATACAGCTAGCCTCGTTAGCTACATGCAGTATATGTACGGTCACAATGTACGGTAAACCGGAGTATACTGTATGAGTATTCCGTGTGTGACTGCAGACATTCTCCTGCCATGACAAACATGTAAGGCCATCTGCTGACATTGTAGTTGATATATTTAAACGCTAGCAACGTAGCATCACAAAAATGTTTTTCTGACCAAAACTAGCTCAAGCTCCGTGTGTTAGATCGCTACGCCAGCTATAATGTAATTACGTTTCGCGACTGACCGGCAAATCACCCGCAGTATACTGTCAATAGGTATTTTGTGTGTGAATGCAGACATTCTCCTGCTATGAGATACATGTATGCAAGGCCATCTGCTGATATTAGAGTTGATATATGGAAACTCTAGCAACTTAGTTAGCACAGTTAGCACTGTGTCAATGGCTTAGCAGTCCAACACAGTTTACACATTTAAACAGTCTTGTTTGATAAATACACAAATAACAATGCAAACTTACAGGTTGTATACCCAGATCTTCCCCTGCTCCAAACGGTCCAAACAAGCTGTGCATATCCGGCCTCAAACTGGGCAATGTTTTGGAAGCTTTCGTCTGTGAAATGCCGGTTCTTCGAACCTCTGGAGGAGGAACACGCCGCTGCTGGTGTGGCCATAGCTCTTCGGGATTGGTCCATTTCGTTGCGGGTACCGCATGACATCAGGCGGTACCCGGAACTAAATGGAAGACTCAAATGGGCAGTGACGTATCTCCAACGAGGCGTTTTGGGGAGGTATTTTCTGTGTTAGAGTTTTACTCGCTACAGGGTGTACTTTGAGGGTTTTGACTCTGCACACCGTTTACATGCATAAAAACCTTCATAACACACAAGGGGACGGGTAATAACCGGAAAAGCATGACATGGGAGCTTTAATATTTGGAGTACAAAAACAATCCTGATATCATTAGAAAGCTAGGAATCTCCTCTTTACAACAGTGTATACAACTCAAAATGTGTCTCCGGGTCAATGCGACTGATTTCGATAGAGCAGGTCACATATGTGAAATAATATAGCAATATCCTGTAAAATTATGTGAAAACATGAATAAAACTACACATCTTCAGATGTTATACATACATAAGTGTCCTACACTAATAATACAAAGTTATTATGGCATTGTATGCTGTGTGTTATTTGTAACATCTTCAGAAACTACCTTTCCAACTACTCTTGCAGTCGACTGTTACAGGTCATTCCGTTCGAGTCCAGTTTTGGATAGTCTGCCGTGGTTTCATTCCATTTCAAAGAGCTCTGCGTAACCTTGGTGCACTGCCACTCCAACTCCAACATCCAATCACAGAGCTTGAGGACTAATCACAGGGTTTGTCAAGCAAAGCGGATGTTGTAGTCCCAAACGATAGCTGAGGATTATGGGTAGTGTAGTGTCTTCGGCCATCCTAAACTGAGAAAAAACGTTTTGTTTCTTCAAATCGAAGGTTAAAAACACAAAAGCATTGTACACAATTTAAACCAATCAATATTGTGTAATTAACAAGGATAAACTGATGTTTTTTAGTGGATGAGTAATGCAGATATATCACTGTGAAATCATTTGACAGTGAGGGCAATACTTCCGGTTTTATTATGAAAACTTTGAGACCGGAAATACTGTTTTCACCCCGTGAGGGTTGACGCCAACTTTACATGGACGCTGTGGGGAAAGACGAGACCTCAAATCATCTTCGTAATATCTCTCAAACTATAGATCCTACACATCCACTGGACGTGGATTCTAAAAGTACAATATACACTTCTCGCTAGAAATCTAATCAAAAAGCATTTTAACCTGTTACGCACCATCCGCCCGGTACCGGGCGGATAAACGTTTCATTTGCAAGAAACAACGTCTAAGGGATCTTAATATTTAATAAACTATGAATGTTTTATATCCATGTAACGGGAAGAAACTCAGCTAACTGATCTTTTTAATTTTTTTTTCCAAAAAAACCCCACAATGCTAGCACTCAGCCTCTGAATTACCCACCAGCGAAATAATTTAACCTAAAACGGCACTTAAACTCACAATAACTCCCTTATTACTTATCCTAGATGCACAGCCAACCACTCGTTTATGGTGTCCTGGAGACACAGAATCTGTGTAAAAAACCTCAACACTCGGTGATAAACATTTGCGACGCTATAAACGAAAGCGTACATCATAACATGTGGAGCTAGGTAGCTAGAAACGCTAACATGGCTTACCTTGGTCAAAACTGGTCTTCAATGGCATTAAAACGATAAAAAAACGATGCTGCAGTTAATCCATAGGTTCATCCAATGTATCTGTGCCCTCTTTAAAATTATTTCTGATAATCCATAAGCAATAAAACTGCTTTTTCGTTTCCAAATGTCAGAGCTAGAATGTAGCTCCACTCTGCTTTACATTTACATGCGCGCAGCCCCCACCTTTTCTCTTCACAATGTGTGTGTGTGTGAGCCTCCCCCTTCGATTCTATTGGCTCTAACGGTCAGAAAGAGGTGTCAACCATCAAAATCGAGCAAGGGGGGCCAGAGATATGGAAAAAAAAACATTTTCACCCAAATCACCTCAGAGGTGGGGTGGTTTTGGCTAAACCTCTCTAAAAAGGTCAAATGTCACTTGTTTTGCATCAATCTTGATACAGGGTACTTATTATATGTTGTACTTTGGATTCCTAAAGCTTTTAGTCACTAACCCATCATCCAAGGGTAGTTTTCACTATCTGTAAAAAATAATTTTTGGACGGACACTATAATTTACAGTTTTTTACTATGTAAAATCTGAATTTTCTTTAAAATAAAAAACATTTATATTGATTCTGAGACTTCTACATCCAACTCACAAATGTAACCTTGCTTTGATAAAAGAAATTATTCATATAACCCTTTTAGAAGTTAAGTTGTAGTCATTTGTTTTGGGCATGTCATTTTCGAGCCTGAAACATGAAAAACAGGCTTGGTGCTTAACAGGTTAATGGCCAAACTATCCTACAATTTAGGATTTTCCAGAGAGGGTTATTAGTGAATATACGACCCTCCGGAGCGTTTGCAATCAACGGGAGCATATGCCGCAAATTGTTGTTTCTTACACGACCACTAGAGGTGCTAAACTTTAAAACGTGACTAGGTCGTAATAAGCTGCTGAACAATCTACCTATTTGGTCGTTTTTTGGAGGAGGACAGGCTGTTATTAAACCATTATGACTGCTAGCTTTTGTGTTTCTGATTCACCTTTGCATTGCCTTAATGTATTCCTAATAGCAATTGCTTTACTTCATTTCATTTGAAACCTTTATTTATCCAGGTTTATCCCATTGAGATCATTGATCTCTTTTTCAAGGGAGACCTGCTCAAGTAGGTTCCACATGAAACATTAAAACATAAACATAACAACAAAAAGGACATCATACAGCATCATTACAGGGATTACAATTTACATAACTATCCACATGAACAGGTACCAACAGCTTCCGATTGAGTAGCATCCAACCGAGCTTTAAAAACATTTAGTGGCACCAGATTGCTCAGTTTCCATTTCAATTGCAGACTATTCCAAGACAGTGGAGCTGCGCATCTAAATGCTATCTTCCCTAAGACAGTCCTAGCAGTTGGCACATTTAATAAAACCACAGCATGCGATCTCAGGCAGTATCCACTTAGAATTCGCCGTGAGATCAGGGAGCAGATGTAGGATGGAAGTTTCCCTAACATGGCTTTGTATATAAAAATGTACCAGTGACTGAGCCTCCGGACAGTTAGCGAAGGCAAACCAGCCCTTGCATACAGGGTACAGTGATGGGTTAATGCTTTACAGTTTGTCACAAATCTCAGTGCACTGTGATGCGCAGCATCTAACTTGACCAGGCAATTGGCAGGTGCATTCATATAAACATTCAAAGAGAGTCTCAGTTCTATGATTGTTGGGGCAGTGTCCCTTGAAAACCTATACTCCCAAGAAATGAGTTCCTGAAGAAAACAAATTGCTGATTTAGAAATGAAATTGCATCAGAATGACTATATTGATGTTCAACTAAAACGGTTCGTCTCCTCTCTCAGGATATTGCTACCATGCAGTTGTGTGCCAACAAGCTGGACAAAAAAGACTTTTTTGGCAAGTCGGACCCCTTCTTGGTTTTCTACCGGAGTAACGAGGACGGAACGTGAGTCTTTTACCTATGTCTTTCAAATTATACCACCAACTGTTACACCAAGGAGATATATGTTTTATTCACGTTTTAGTAATAACATACAAATGTAATAACACAGTTTGTATATAGGATTTAAAAGAAGGGCATTTGGCACCCATTAATTTAAACATTGGTTTGTGTTTTGTAGCCGTATGTTTAGCATTTTAGCATCTTGTTTTTCTTGAATTCAGAAATGACTATATTTGGACAAGTTGATGGAAATTACTAGGCCTGTATTCTGATTGACAGAACGGCATGGTAGAACGGCATGGTGCTGTATTATCTATTTTACTGTAAATGGGACCATCATTTACAAAAATGAACATTATGCTATATCGTAGACTTGAAACAAGAGATTGCATCCATAAAATTGTCAGAAATCTTTTATCGAGGTAATAAATTAAGTAAAAGGAAGGCTAACTATCTCATAGACTTCTATACAAACAGTCTTTTTTTGTGATTAGTGGGTTTGTCCCCTCCTGGCTAATAGTTAGAATGTAAGTTTAAGGCAGATCATCCGCATTGGTTTCACTTTTCAGATCTCAGGCTCTTCTTTTATGGTTGTTTTCATGGTTCTAAAGAATACACACTGTTTTTTTATGTATTTAATGTTTAAGATAAGACATCTGACATTGAAGCCTGACATAAGTAATTTTTTTTTTAAAGACCCTTCAAACCAACATCTGAACCTCCTCATATTTCACTTACCTCTCCAGTTTTAATGGAAAGAAATCTTGCAATAAATGTGATTCTGATTTATTTTTTCCTACTGTTAAAACCTCTTGTTCCCACGATTCATTTACAGTTTGAATTGGACTTTTCATGTTTTAAAAGTGGGCTTAGGATAGAAATCATACCTATCATAAAGCATATAGTACTTTATTCTTCCATGAGAGTATTCCAGAAAGCTGAAACCATAAACTTTGCAGTTTCATTACCTTCGAAGCAGTCCAAAAATGTGATTTTCCCTAAAAATCTTTAAATCCACACGCCCAAAGAACAGTTTGTTCATCCTTTGTTATAAGATTTAATTGCATGCTACCAGCCACTTATCCTCGGGTGGATACAAGTATTACTATTAAGGGACTGCTGTTCAGAGCGCAGCATCTCTGTAGATTCATTGGTACCGCTCGGTGAAAACCGGCAGCAGCTGAGGTCTCATTGGGAAGCCCGATTGAGGGTAAAGCGAGACGTTGCCAGACAGCCCTCAAACAATGTTTTGGACAAAGAAAGGAAAGCAATTGTGAGCTTTTTTTGAGTGACGATTAAAGGTGGGGTAGGTAAGTTTGAGAAACCGGCTCGAGATACACTTTTTGTTATATTCCATGGAATGCTCTTAACATCCAGATAGCAATGAATATCTTAAGTGCTTTGACAAAAAATCCATAAAAAAATGTCATCTGTGGAAGCCGTAGTACTGTAAAAAGCACGACCAATCATTTTAGCCGGCCCGGCCAAAATAACTGGATGGCCTACCTGCCTGTCAGCCTTCCATCTGTGCACCAATTTATCTCGTGCCCTCATTGGTCATGTGCACGTTGGTGTGTGTTGGAGGAGGGGCTCTGTAAGGAAGTGGCAGATTTTTTCCGGTTGTGTATTTTCAAATTCTAGCGCACTCGAGCTGGTTTCTCCAAAATTACCTACCCCACCTTTAAGTGCAAATAATATCTTGTGTTGCATCTGTTCTCTGTTGTTTTCCATAAAAATCAACTTTTCTTTGTATGACACCAGCCTCTGAGGCTTATCCCAACCTTTAATGTTATTACCACCTTCTGCTGCTCTGCATTTTAGAGACTTTCAGTGGAATAAAACTCAATCTGCAATTCTGTCATGCCCCATAGATATACGTAAACAGGTATCTGTAAGATGTTTGTAGCATTGCAGCTGAAGCTTAAATGAAGTTATGTGGGATTCAGGTACAATATGAGCAAAAATGTTTTATGTTATTTGGCTGGCAGGTTCACCATCTGCCACAAGACAGAGGTGATCAAGAACACACTGAACCCGGTGTGGCAGCCCTTCACCATCCCGGTTCGAGCTCTCTGCAATGGCGACTTTGACAGGTCAGAAAATGTGTCCAAATAGTGAAATGTTAAAGGTCACCTATTATGCAAAATCCACTTTTTCATATATTTTATACATAAACATGTGTCCTGATCCATTTATATAAAAACCTGTCTGAAAATGAGCTGATCAGATTGTGGCCACTTTATGATGTCATAAGATGTTTTGGCTTGTGTAACCATTAGCCAATCACCAACCAAGGTAACCCCCCCCCCCCCCTTATCACCTGAATCTCCTCCTAAAGCACCATTGTGTTCTTTTTAACCAAATATCTCTCAGAGGGGCGTGGGGAGTGGCTCCTTATTTTCATCTAAAGTAACAGACACAGAATCAGCACTTTTGAAACAGGGCTGAAACAGAGGGGATTATGGGATGCTACAATGATCTGTTTGGTATTTCGAGCCAAACACTTCAGAGACATGTTTTGTATATATCCGAGACCTATAATATATTGATGAAAAAGAGTATAATAGGAGACCTTTAAATTACTCATTACACATTAAATTAATGTATGAAGATGTCTTTAATCACTTTTTACATGAACAACTTGAGTTCCTACGTCCTAGCAGACACAGTTTTTCTATGATCAAGGACTTAAGGCAGAGGCAGACTCTCAGGGATGATGTCACCTGTTGCTGGGGCGGTCAGAATAATGCCAGCAGTCGGTCGTGGTGTCCCAGGGACCAGCACTGGTGTTATTGAGACTGCCTCAGTTTCCACACAGCACTGTTTTGCACATTCTAAGTGGGGTTGGACTGTCTAAGCAGCTGGTAAAGTCACTTCCTGCCTGGTACACTCTGCATACAAAAAGCATAGAGAAGTGCATACAATGCCACTTGCTAAAATAAAGTGTACTTCTCTTTGGGTTATTTTAAAGGTTTTTGAGAATTATTATCCCTTTAGACTTTTGTCTTATTTCTTTATAAGATAACAACATAAGTAACTAGAGAATGCAATTCCTGAAGAAATTGCTAGTGGGAATGCTTTATGCTGAAAATCTGACGCTAAACTGCTATGCTGAAATGTAATGTGTAAGAAGAAAGTGAATAATTTAGATTGAAATGATACATGAACACTGGGGGCTTGAATGTGTGATGAGAGAAGAAAAGAAAGTAAAAAGGCTTGGAAAAGCAGCAGAATATTTGAACTGCAAACTTTTGAACTAACTTGATGGTGAAGGATCTGTCGCTATGGCAACGGCATTTGATGACATCCCATAATACGCTTAGATGTGTGGATGGCTGCATCGTTACCAAACCTGTGAAGTTTTGGGCTGTTTGGAGCATTTTCACTGAAGTTATGAGAAAACCGTGTTTCATGGCGAGCCTTGTGTTACCATGGCAACGGCATTTGAAGAAACCCCATAATTGACGTAGAGCTGTTGAGGGCTGGACCGGTGATATACAAGCGAAGTTTGGGGGACGATCGGACCGTGTCCATTGGACTTACAGCGACATCGTGCTTCACGGCGAGTGGTCTGTTGCCATGGCAACGGCATTTGATGACATCCCATAATACGCTTAGATGTGTGGATGGCTGCATCGTTACCAAACCTGTGAAGTTTTGGGCTGTTTGGAGCATTTTCACTGAAGTTATGAGAAAACCGTGTTTCATGGCGAGCCTTGTGTTACCATGGCAACGGCATTTGAAGAAACCCCATAATTGACGTAGAGCTGTTGAGGGCTGGACCGGTGATATACAAGCGAAGTTTGGGGGACGATCGGACCGTGTCCATTGGACTTACAGCGACATCGTGCTTCATGGCGAGTGGTCTGTTGCCATGGCAACGGCATTTGATGACACCCCATAATATGGTTAGATGCGTTGATGGCTGCATCGTTACCAAACCTGTGAAGTTTTGGGCTGTTTGAAGCATTTTCACTGAAGTTATGAGAAAACCGTGTTTCATGGCGAGCATTGTGTTGCCATGGCAACGGCATTTGAAGAAATCTCAAAACTGTCTCGCAGATGTCTTCACGGCTGGACTGTTAGCACACATGTGAATTTTGAGCACTTTTTGAACATTTTCATAGGAGTTAAAGGGACATCGTGTTTTATGGCGAGGGATGCGTTTCCATGGAAACGGCATATGGTGAGATTTCAGATTTGGCGTAGAGCTGTTGAGGCATGGACCAGTGATATACAAGTGAAGATTGGGGGACGATTGGACCGTGTCCATTGGACTTACAGCGACATCGTGTTTCATGGCGAGTGGTCTGTCGCCATGGCAACGGCATTTGATGACACCCCATACTAAGCTTAGATGCGTTGATGGCTGCATCGTTACCAAACCTGTGAAGTATTGGGCCGTTTGGAACATTGTGTGTGAGAGAGAGAGAGTGTGTGTGTCTTTGTGTGGTAGAGAGAGAGAGAGAGAGAGAGTGTGTGTATGAAATGAACAGTTAGAACTGACTGCTGTCAGTTGGAGTGATGACATCATCGTGTTCCATTACACAGGTGTTTATAGTTGAGCTAACGAGCTCTGTAGAGATCAAAGGTTTGCATTGTTCTGAATGAGAAATGAACCTCTTACATGTGAACGTTTTGTGGAAGAACGATAACAGATATCTGTGAAATTTCAAAACGTCAAGCATGTCAAGGAAGTTGAGTATCTGAAGTGTAATTTTTGTGTACTTTCGGGTTAATAATGTGGCCTTTTTGGCAGTTTAACTAAAGGTGTGCGGCTGCTGCTGTGAGGAAATATCATCCTGAAATTACAATGGGTTTTAATGGAGACATGTTGAACGTTTTTGTCACTTCATGCCCTCAAGAGGCATTTTGTTTAATTATTTTGCTTAATTATTTGTCATTTTTCAAGCTACGAGATGTTTTCCTACGTTTGTCATGAAAGATTATGTCTCAGGAATGTAGGGTTTGGGAATTATGGCAGTTTAAAAAAAAATATGAAGGCAAATTTCAAGATTTCCTACCCTCTAGCTGTGACATCACGCACTCTGCCTTTACGAGCTGCGTATTGTTAAAGTTAAAATGTTAAAATGTGATGAATTATGGGATGTATCTCTGGAATTATGAAAGTTATGAATGATAAAAGTAATAGCCTGCGATTCCCGACCGAGCTGAACGTTTTGATGTTTGAACGGAGTTTCTGCGATGTTGAATGTGGGAGGAGAAGAGGGCCAAAAGAATCGGCGGAATAATAAAAATGTTGTCCGTTGCATAACATATAGTTGGAATGCTGTATCAGCATTCCCACTAAATAATCATTTGGTGTTGTACTTCCCTGTTAATGTTTTATACCTCTTCCCAGTTTGAGAAAATTGGTCTACAGGGTTCTTACGGTCATTAAAAACCTGGAAAAGTCATGGAAATTGAAAATGTTAATTCCAGGCCCTGTAAATATTATGGAAAACAATATTTTTCCCAAAGTTTTGGAAAAGTCATGGAAATGTAACTAAAGTTGCATCAAATATAATTTATATTTTATCTAATCGCCAAAATAGTAGTACTATAATGATAATAAATACTGTATCGTATAGTAATGAAACGTAAAATGGCATTTAACTGACGAGGTATTTTGCTGGTGAGAGATTTTAGTTGCTTTAGCGTGTAGAAGCTAGTAAGCCTATTGGATTTGTTTTAGATAGGCACAACATGTTTCATATGCAGACCTTATTTTCCTGTTCCATGTTAAAATAAACCATTTTCAGTGGTACCGCTGAGAAAGAGTCATTTTTTTGGTCATGGAAAATTAGGTAAAGGTCATGGAGAAGTCATGGAAAAGTCATTGAAAATCATTTGTGAAAAAGTGTATGAACCCTGGGTCTAGAATCTACTTGCGCCAAGACAATTTGTATTAGCCCCAATAAAATATGTTTCTTTTTTACTTGCAAAAAAAACGATGAATTTGGAGTTTCAACCACATCCACAATTCCGTTTGAATGTCCTTGTGAGTGCCAGATCTCTACAGTGCTTCTGCAACATAACTCGTTCAGCCAATCTGAATCAGAAGTTCTGTGCTCTCCAAAAACGTATTTTTGCAGATTGATGTCTCTGTACATACTGCAGTCCCTTGATCCTCCTTAGTATCGGTCTGCTATCCCTAGCAGCAGTCTGCTAGCTAAAAAAAGCAGGCCTCTGGAATGTCTGATCTGGCCAATAATAATGAACTGTTCCACTAACCCATGTAATAACTGCTAATATCCAATATAATTGTTAAGAGAGCTGATATGATGATTGCGCTGGCTGTTTTGTCATCCTCACCGTCGTGAGACTGACAAAATCTACGGCGATATTACATGGTTAATTTTCTTTTTTTTCTTTTTTTTAAACCGTTATTTAACCAGGTGGTCCCATTGAGATCATCGATCTCTTTTTCAAGGGAGACCTGTCCAACATGGCAGCAAGTAGGTTACAACATGAACATAAAACAACAGATAACACAAAAGGACATCGTATTTACAGGGCCACATTTACATACCTAGAGACATTGACAAGTACCAACAGTATATTTATATCTCGCCCTGTCAATAAGCCTCACCTTCTTGGCAGAAACTGTATTGTTTTTGAAGTGGTGGAGAGACAATGCACAGTTATACCCACTGCTGTCACCCATGGCCAAAGCAGAGAGAGAGAGCACGCTCGTTAATTGTCAACGGGGGGGGGGGGCGGTGTTATGCCGTGTTATGCATGCCCACCGAGATATGCATGCACCTCGCGGGAGCGCGCACAGCGCAAAGCAAAAACTCCCAGACATTTCAATGATCTGTACGGCAAAGTACGGTTTGGAAACTATATCATTTCTTTTTGGAGGGCATGCATAACACGGCAAACACCAGAGCCTCGGTGCGGGGAAACTTTGGCGCTGTTCCGAGTTTGTTCTAATCCTGCACAGGCCTCATCACTCCCCCTGCTCTCCCACCAAGCGAGAGAGTTTTTTCCACAGCAGGTGATATTGTAAACGCCCATACAACCCAGCTTCTACCTGGAAATGTGGGCATGCTCATATTCCTAAAAACCTGTCTGATGATGCTGAGTGAGTGAGTTAGTGAGTTTGAGTTGAGTTACTTGAAAAACTAAAGTGAAACTTGATTTATTTTATTGCAGGGTCTGATTATTCAATGTCCTTGTTTATTTGTGAGATGCAGTGACACAAAGAAAATGCCTACTTTGTTTGGTAGTACTAGTAGATAAAAAAAACACTGGTTGTTCTTGTTCCAGTCTGTTACTGTCACTTTGTTTTTGACACTTTAAAATACTACTATCCTACTAAAATGCTGTACAAATCAGATTTATTATTTAATAAAGAACATTTTTTAAAGTAAAAAATAAATAGATTTCAAAATAAATGTTTCCCCAAAAAAAATATTCTATATCGCGATAAATACTGTCCCGTGGACGTGTTATCGCAATATTATCGTACCGTGAGTTTTTGGTATTGTTACATCCCTAGTAAAAACTATTAGAGATTAAAGAACTTCCAGTTTTTGGGAAATCAAGGCCTATCTTTGAGGAGATTTCTGTGCATTTGCATTAAGTTAAACTTGACAACAATGCCTACAGCAAAAATAAATAGGGACAAACTTTGTGGGTCTTCATGGTAAAGCTTGATTCCCCATATGCTATTTCTAAGACCTGTGATGTTTTAACTGAATTTGAACCCAGCCTAGTAACTTCACTATATCATACTCTTCTTGTACTGTATGCCTGTAACATATATACTTGTTCTACGGTATGCTTTATTTTTCATTTGTATCTCTCTATCTAGGTTTTGAATAGATGATGTTCACTGCCTTGAAGCAGTGAGCATAGATAGTTTTTTTAATTCAGAGCTCACATAACAACCTGTACCTGCTGTGCAAATAATCCTGTTCGACGTGCGGCTATTGAATCAGTGAATGTGTAATTGCTCTTTTCCCAGTGTGATGCAGTTTTAAAATTCAATACCATTTTCAGATTCTCGTTATATTGATGGGAGATAATGTGGTACAGAGCACACCTTGAAACATAAGATATTGTGTTTCTGTTTCAGGACTGTGAAGGTAGATGTCTATGACTGGGATCGAGATGGAAGGTAAAAATAAATCAACTTTCTCTCTCAAATGTCAGAAGAAAGTGAACAGCCTTGTGTACACTCTGTAGGTGAAAATGTGAAGCAGTTACTGTGAGATTGCCAGAAACAATAATGGAGGAAGGCGTGTGGATAGAGACAAAGACGTGAACATTTCTCTCTGATTATGAAGTCTGTGTTCATGCTCGCCTGTCTTTGTGGGTGTTTGTGTGCAGCCATGACTTCATTGGCGAGTTCACCACCAGCTACAGAGAGCTGTCTCGAGGGCAGAACCAGTTCAATGTCTACGAGGTGAGACGTGACATGGGGGGTGGTTTGTTGTTTCTCATAGCTTTTGTCATATGAAATTTCATTATTATGATATTGATATTTTAACTCTAGCTAGCTAGCTCTCTAAGGCTCAAAACAATCTTTCCAACAGCTTCATACGAAGCGAAGTAATACGAAATAGGGGATGAAAATGGAAAGGCTGAAAAGATGTTATAGATATTATTATTTCCCTTTGGAGGAATCGAAGATTTCACACATGGATAAATAAAGTCACAGGAATGAGAGGTCCTGTAATGTTCATTTTTTAGTATTTTGATGCTAAATTGTTACTTGGTTGTAATGATACATGATGAGAAATGTCAATACTCAATGCAATTGAATTAAATAGAAGACTAGGATAGTATGTCAACATGTGGCCTGTCCATTTTCTCATAGGTTTTTATGTGAACCTTAATGATAATTAAGTAATGATAAGTAAACTATGATAATCTTTTTATGACCACCCATCCAATTTTCATCAAATACAAGTCAATATCAACATCAATAATGAATACATGGTACATGTAATGTACTCTTTTCACTGTTATATATACACTGAATTCTTACCTAAACATATGTATTTGACTTTAATGAGGTAAAGCAAAAAGGACCAAGTACATTTTGGATCCTTCATGGTCAGGTTAAGGGTGTCAAGGAGTGAACTCTGAGGCATGAACTCAAATGCACGACTCAACTCAGACTCAGGTAGTGATTCAAAATAAAGACTTTACTGGTATTAGACACAGTAACAAAACAGGGAAAACAATAACACTCTTTCGAGGAAAAACAAAGACTATGATCAAGAGCTTAGAGGTACGTTATATGTCCGTGGAGTAGGCTTGTACGTTTGTCCTGAATGAGGAAACGAACTGGCAATGGACAGGAGGGAACTAGCACAATATACACACAGGGTAAGGGAAACAGGTGGAAAAAATCAGGGCGGGGAAAACAATCACGTACGCAGGAGACAGATAGGGGCGGGGAGCGTGGAGGCCTGAAATGAGGGAGAATTACTTATCAAAATAAACATAAAGCACAGGACAGAAGGACATGACAAAACTAACATAAAGAATAAACTTTCACAATAAGTTTCTTAGACATGACAAAGGGTCTTAAAGGCTGTGGTAATTTGAATTAACACTCTCCAAACAAAATCATGACAAGAACTATTTAGTAATTGAGCTAGGAATTTGTGAAAGGATTTCTATGCTCCAAGGGAACTAATTAATAATAGCACTGGCATAATGACCAAATAAATCATTAAACAGATTAGATTAGTAATGATGGATGGATGGAAGTACAAACCGATGGATGGATGGATGGATGGATGGATGGATGGATGGATGGATGGATGGATGGGTTGGTTGGTGGATTGATGGATGGATAGATGGATGGATGGATGGGTTGGTTGGTGGATTGATGGATGGATAGATGGATGGATGGATGGATGGATGGATGGATGGGTTGGTTGGTGGATTGATGGATGGATAGATGGATGGATGGATGGATGGATAGATGGATGGATGGATAGATGGATGGATGGATGGATGGATGGATGGATGGGTTGGTTGGTGGATTGATGGATGGATGGATGGATGGATGGATGGATAGATGGATGGATGGATGGATGGATGGATGGATGGATGGATGGGTTGGTTGGTGGATTGATGTACATGTGGATGGATTGATATACAAATGGATGAATGTATAGGTGTACAAACCTGCATTAGGACAAATGTATGGATGGCTGGTTGGATGGATTAATCTTTTCACCTTTCATTTATTTTCTCTACACTAGATTTTCTCAGTAAAACCTTATCAGTTTCAATTCATGGTCTTCCAGTATCAGAACTCTGTTGAATTATTCATAGTCATTATCAAACATCATTTCAGGGCATGAAGTGTTTTTTACAAGTACCCTCTCAACCACTAACTTACTTTTCCGCATCACCGGCAGGTTTTAAATCCAAAGAAGAAAGGCAAAAAGAAGAAATACATCAATTCTGGAACTGTGAGTACACCCAAGTCTCATGTGTCCCATATCGTCTCCAGTGTAATTTTTCTCATGTATATTTCTTTAGGTATCACCATCGCTTACATCAGCTTCTCTCTCACTGACTATGTTGCTGTCGGGCCACCTGTTTGTCTTTTTCCTCCCTGTCTACCTGGAAAGGTAACTATAAAACCTCCCTTCTATGTTTATAAATATGTGTGTGTGTGTGTGTGTGTGTGTGTGTGTGTGTGTGTGTGTGTGTGTGTGTGTGTGTGTGTGTGTGTGTGTGTGTGTGTGTGTGTGTGTGTGTGTGTGTGTGTGTGTGGTGTGTGTGTGTGTGTGTGTGTGTGTGTGTGTGTGTGTGTGTGTGTGTGTGTGTGTGTGTGTGTGTGTGTGTGTGTGTGTGTGTGTGTGTGTGTGTGTGTGTGTGTGTGTGTGTGTGTGTGTGTGTGTGTGTGTGTGTGTGTGTGTGTGTGTGTGTGTGTGTGTGTGTGTGTGTGTGTGTGTGTGTGTGTGTGTGTGTGTGTGTGTGTGTGTGTGTTTGCCAGGTAACTCTGCTGTCCTTCAAAGTGGAGTCCGAGTATACCTTTGTGGATTTCATCCGAGGAGGGTGAGTGGAATAATAATTAGACTGCTCTCACAGTGAGTGTCAATAGCCACCATTTTAGTTGTTACTAGATTGAATGTCTTAAACCCTCACAGCATCACACAAAGTGTTGGGTGGGGGGATGTGTATTGGTAAAACTCAATTATAAATACCCTATTTATTCACCTCATTCACTTTTAATCACTACTTTCATTTGTTTGACTTAATTAAGCCTCCATGATGGTGGAGGGAATATTGTCCTGCCATACTAATTAGCCAGTGAACCAGTAAACTAATTATATTGAACGTCAGTGTGTTGATGTGTATGTTTGATGGAAATACAATGGGTATTAAGTGAACTGAAGTGTGTGATCTGTTCTTCTTTGATTACCATTTTCTTTGCAACAGAACACAACTGAACTTCACGGTGGCTATTGACTTCACAGCGTCGAATGGTAAGTTGCTTTGACTTGCATGTATTTTGATTGATTGTAGGTGGGTTTTAGAACTCTTCGATGCCTCCCTTATAATAATTAAAATGCAGTTTGACTAGATGTGGTCAGTCAAGCGTTTCAAACTAAACATACAAATAACTACGTTGCTTGTACAGGGTATATGCAGGAATCCTGAAGTCAAATGTAATACCTTTTAAGACCTTTTTTAAGACCCTTTCCATACATTTTAAGACCTCATCGCCACTTCGAGTTTTAACCGGTTACATTGGCGACACACTCTACCTCACATTTACTATATACAGTATTGATTGTCCTTCCTCCTTATCTTCCAACCATTTGGACGCAAACTTGCATTTCCCCATAACGATGTTGTTTAACAACCGGCGTAAACGGATCTTCGCGCGCTATCAAGCAGTGAGCGCGCGATGTCCTGTTCAGATGACGTCAAACCCAACGGGATGCCATAAATAAACTACACAGAATCACACTGCACACCTACGCAATGATTACATTCAGGCAGACTTTAGAATACAACCTCTTTGGACAATTTATATACTTATTGAAAACAAGCTACAAAATGTAATACCTTGGAAAATGCCGTTTAATACTTTTTAATAGCCTTAATTTCCGCTAAATTGATTTATCAACTTTTAATACTTTTTAAGACCCCGCGGACACCCTGTTGTAAAATGCCAAAATTGGCTCCTAGTAATGAATCAGTTAACTACAGTAATAGTTACAAATCGTAAGAGAATAGTTTGGCACAATGGGATAATAGTTATTCATGGTTAAAAGTCTTAATTGCCATTTTTACATTTCTGTTTCAATTGACAATCAGTATAAGGTCTTTATTAGTAGGCCTAAGCTTTACAGTGTTAAGCTAGAAACTAAATTGGGCATGTTCTGTTAGCAATTATTTTTGACTATTAGTCAGACTATTATTCAGTCAGTCTGCATTGTTCAAAACAACAGATAAAGCCAGAAATCTAGTTGTAGTCATGGACTCTGACCTGAGTTTCAACAGTCACATTAAAACAATTACTAAATCAGCCTACTAAAGAATATATTGAGGATTAAAAGACTAATGTCACAGCAGGATTTGGAAAAACTTGTCCATGCTTTTATCTTCAGTAGACTCGACTACTGCAATGGTGTCTTCACAGGCCTCACTAAAAAATCTATTAGAAAGCTGCAGCTGATTCAGAACGCCGCTGCTCGAGTCCTCACTAACACTAAGAAAGTGGATCACATCACTCCTGTTCTGAAGTCCTTACACTGGCTTCCTGTGTGTCAAAGAATAGATTTCAAAATATTGTTGCTGGTTTATAAAGCTTTGAATGGTTTAGGCCCAAAATACATTTCTGACCTACTGCTAAATTATGAACCATCCAGAACTCTCAGGTCTTCAGGGACTGGTCAGCTTTCTGTCCCCAGAGTCAGAACTAAACATGGAGAAGCAGCATTCAGTTATTATGCTCCAAATATCTGGAACAAACTCCCAGAAACCTGCAGGTCCGCTGCAACTCTGACTACTTTTAAATCCAGGCTGAAGACTTTTCTTTTTGCCGCTGCTTTTAATTGAACTATTCATATCTTAAACTGCACTGTAACTTTTATCCATGTATTTTTTCTTTTAATGTTTATTTTATTATCTTTGCTTTTTAATGACTGTTTTTAAATGCCATTTTCTTAATGTCTTTCATTTTTGTAAAGCACTTTGAATTGCCTTGTGTTGAAAGGTGCAATATAAATAAACTTGCCTTGCCTTATTCCTCTCGAATTGAATAAAATAATGTATTAATAATTTACCCCTTTTAGAAGTGAAGATATAGTCATTTGTTCTGGGCATGTCATTTTCGAGCCTGAGGCCTGAAAAACAGGCTCCGGGCTTAACAGGTTAACAACCAAAACTTCAGGAGCTATTTAATGCTAGAAAGCAAGTTGGTTCCAATGCTAGACGATTACAGTTTGGTGTGCCACAGGGTAACTGTTTGGGCGCACTCATGTGTGAAATCGTAATAATTTGTTGTTGGTCAAGTAATGTCAGCTCACCAATACAAGCAATCTTCTGATCAAAATCTAGGTTAGTGCTGCAAAATACTACAATCTAAAAAAATATGATTTAGTTAAACCATATGACAGTAGTTGGTGAAGTTAAAGTTGGGTAAATTATTTGTGGTCATACCAATGCAATGGCACAGAAGAAAGGAATTATATTCAGTATTGTTTGGTTGTGTTTCTTAATGCATGACTCCAATGTAGCAGTGATTTTTTCTCAAGACACGAGGACCTACAACATTGTGTAATGCACCATTAAACCACCAATTACCATATTCTCATAAATGTATATCTCTTTCTGAAACTACTAAAATGACACAACTTGAATTTTTTGTTTTAAAGGATCACAGAAAGAAAACTTGATTTTTAAAATGTAACACTTGAGTGGGAAATGCACTTGTCCCTTTTCCCATCTGTAATGTAACATGACCTTTCTTCAGTTGTTATGGCAGATACACTGGTGTTCGTGATGGGCAGGCACACAGCTGTCCTGAATAGATTGTTACATTTAGGCTCTTATTTTCACATGATGGGAAGTGCAGTCGAGCGTGCATGGTGCAGAGGGCTTGGGGAATGCGTTTGGTATTTTCATATCCAGAAGCACGGGGTACACCTGTGTCGCAGTTGGAAGCTAGATAGGATTAGGAGGAATACATTATTGGTAGGTGTGTTAGGAGCAGGCATCTATTCTGGATAATGAAATCTCCCCCCTCCCCCCACCCTTTCACTCAAGCAAGGCACTTGTTTAATAACAGAGAAGAACACATGCTTATTCTTGGGGGAGAAGTCAGATTTAGCTATGTTTACATGTCAATTATAATTATACTGCCAAACATATTAATGTAAATGTGTTAAACATTAATTTGAATGCATTAACTGATAAATCCCCATACTAATCATTTTTTACATGACTCTTTGATTAAAATTGGACTGTTAAATATATTTCATCACGGCTATTGCATGTCTCTATAGCTATTCAAAATGCAGATACAAGAAGCAGCTTATGTGAACCCTGTTTGAAAGAAGGAGATAAAGCATGCAATACTTTATTTTCTATGAATCATCTCCTGTGCTCCACTGGTGACATAACATGCTTCGAATTGCAGATGAAAACCACAAAGAAAGAAGGTGAATTATCATTCAACTCATCGAGTTGTGTGCGTTTCTTTCTCCAAGGTAACCCCTCCCAGCCCACCTCCCTCCACTATATGAGTCCCTACCAGATGAATGCATATGCCATGGCCCTGAAAGCAGTAGGTGAGATTATCCAGGACTACGACAGCGACAAGCTCTTTCCTGCCTACGGTTTCGGAGCTAAGCTGCCTCCTGATGGCAAAATCTCCCACGGCTTCCCACTGGTAAGACACACACAAACATATGAATTCACACATACAAGACACACACGGTCCAACCATAGCAGGGTGTGGTTCGGAACCAGGAGTTGTCGCTGCGGCAACAGCTGGTCGCACAAGTTGAGGACTTGGCTCATCCCCATGCCAGCGGGAATTTCCCAGCATCCCCTCCACTTCCTCCTTCCATCCTCCTGAGAGATCAGGGCAATCATTTAAAAACGGCTGGATGCTAAGCTAAACTGAAAACTAGCTTTTACGCACTAGTTTGGCCTCTGTTGCACCTCTTGTGAGTTCCTGTACCTTATGGAAGGTGGACGAGTGTCTTTCAAAAAACAAAACACCTTTACATAGAGTTTATATTGCGTTTTACAACCACCACATGATCAACCTGCCAATTGCCTAAGAAAGAAGAGTACTAGGATCCGTAAACCGCAAGCTCGAAGACAATTTCATTATACAGTATATTAATGCTACGCTAATTCTAAAAAGAGAAACGTTTATTTCGGAGTGCCTTCATTTAAGTTCTGGATATGCTGTCTTTTATGGGGTTGGGTTAGGTCAGCTTTGAGGGTTGGCGTTTCAGTGTCTAAATACGAGGAGTACTTCAAAAAGGCAAAGTAAATATCTGACATGGGAAATGTTGTACACAATTTGAGGAAGCAAGCTGTTGTAATGTGTGCTTTGGGTTGATGTTACAATTATTAACTCATATGGAGAAAATGACCAATGTTGTTAGGTGGTCGGTTGGGAAATCTTGACAGGTCTGGAGGAGATGCTCAACCCTGGCCCTTTTATAGCCATCTGCTTGGAGAGCGGGAGTGGAGAGGAGTGTGGTCAGATTAAGGTTAATGTTGTCATCTCCAACGATATAAAAAACTTCTTTGAACCAGTAAAACACCAGTCTTTTGATGGTTTACCTTTAATTGTTCCTCTTGAGTTTCCTGTATATATTTTCTTGGGACATTTAGCGTTAGGGTAAATTGTACCACCTGTTATACATATAAAACGGTACTTTCTTAAAATGTCAATATATCTTAAAACAATTGTATTTTAAATGCAAATAAATAGATATCTTTATTTGGAAGAACTACGGTATACGGTTATGTGCTTTAGATGGAATGTTTGTATACTAAGTGTGTACCAAGCAGTGGTTGAAAGTAACTAAGTACACTCAAGTACTGTACTTAAGCACACTTTTGAGGTACTCATACTTTACTTGAGTATTTCCATTTTGTGTTAATTCATGCTTCTAATCCTGACAAATGTTGAATAAATGATGGTACTCACTACATTTATATGACAAGATTAGTTGCTAGTTACTTTGCAAGTTCAAATTATTAAAATAAACATTAAATGAAATAAAGTATGATGGTTTTTAATTATTGATTAAGATACCTGGCAGTATTATGAATTTGTGTTAACATTAATGGATCATGAATTCGAATCCAGCGATATAATTACTATTATTACAAAATGGCCATTCTGCATGCTGAGTACTTTTAGTTTTAGCACTTTAATGCAAATACTTTCATACTTTTAGGTAAGTAACAGTTTGGGTGCTAGAATTGTACTTGTAACATTTCATCAGTGTGTTGTTTTACTTTAACCTAAGTATAAAATCTGAGTACTTCCTCCACCTCTCTTCATTAGTGTGCTGTTTTCTTTCATTGCAGGGCGGTGACGCTGAGAATCCAAACTGTGTGGGCATAGAGGGAGTTCTGGAGGCGTACTTCCAGAGCCTGAGGACGGTGCAGCTCTATGGACCCACCAACTTTGCACCTGTCATCAACAAAGTGGCAAAGTAAGTTTAAAATTGTGTGTGTATGTTAGACTTGGGTATAATTATACTATTTTGCTTTCTTTCATCCAAAACTGAGTCCAGTCCATCAAGAGTAATGTATTTTTTTTTGTTTGATCAAAGATTATTTGAGACACGACTGACAATAACGTTTTAGCCAGATTTAACATTTTTATTATTTTCTGTTTTTTAACATTAACAGCATGTCACACTTTTGGTTATTTCAATGCCACAAAGTCTGGTATCAGGAAATAACATATATCTTAGGGAGAAAGGGCTGAACATTATTTATTTCTCAATTTAATTTCACATTGAGCATCTAGAATCTAGATGCTCAATGTGAAATTATTATTATTAATTTGTTGGGAGAAAATAAGCATCTAGATTCTAGATGCTTATTTTCACCCAACAAATTGTCACACATTACTTCATTTGTTTGTAGTTAAGTGTGTTTTCATCTTGTAAAATGCAGGTACACAGTATTTACAGCATCTCTAAATAGCATTAATGTTCGATTGAAAAAGCCCAAAAAAAAGTATAAAATCCCTTTACATGTAAATATATACCATGTTTATGCCTTTTATATTGTTATATAATAATATTTTGAGTTAGCACAACATATTTTTGAAGTATAGGGACATTTTACATATAAAGGGTGAGGATATGTTGTGCTTACTAAAGGGTAAATAAAACAATAAAACATAAAGTGAACCTTGACTCCATAGAAACCCCATAGAGAAACAGTATCTGCTTTACAAGATAGACTTTCACACGTATACAATGTATCACAATCACATTGACTCTGATTAGCAAGCTTAACACAAAAGTTCCATTCTTCTTGTTTTCTGCCGTGTTGTGAAATTGAGCCTTGTAACATTTTCCAGGCCTATGATGAGTACAAAATGCAGTTTTGTCCAAATTCAGAACAAATGATTGGAGCACTGAAGAATTGGTCTGATAGCTTTTTGAATAAAAGGTAAAGTGGGTACCAAGAGTACGGTGGACGACAGGTGGAAATGCGTTCCACAAGGAGAAACGCGCAGCATGTTTCAAAAACGATGCAAATACTAAACACTGGCACACTTGTGTTTTTATATTTGCCTCGTTTCTGAAGCTGCTTTGTGTTCCAGCTAATTGAACTTTTTTTGGGGCGATCGTATCGTGTTTGCACCTGTTGGCCACCGCACAAGAATGGTTATGAAGCTGATAAGCTACATATCAATCTTCCTCTGGATTTTCAGTGAGGGTTATTGAATTTAGCACATTAATGAAAGTGATACATTCCTAGTTTGATATTGAAGATAATGCCAGATATTAATGAAGTAAACAGAGTTAAAACAACTTCCAATTTATGACATGTCACCATTAACCAGAACAGATACAGATTATTATTTTTGTTCTCAATATGAAGCAAAGGCACTTTCTTAAAATGAATTAAATATGCATCAAGGGAATATGTTTCTTTCAATGGTTATCCATGCATTGGAAAGTTAATTTGTCATTTTACCATATTTCAAGATATCTGTCTGAAAAGACCTCTTTCTAATTTATTTCCTGCCTCTCAAGGGTAATGTTATATTCATTCTTTACCCAATGGGCAGGATATCTCTGGGAAGTTATATATTAAGTTTCTCTAACCTTCAAAGTTAATTTAAGTTGGTAAAATGATAACTGCAGTTTGTGGAAGGCATTCAGCAGATCACTGATTTAGACACGGTGATACATTGGTGCATCATCTGCATGCAAATTAATCTTCAGTGGCAGGATGTCCATTCATTTATTATTAAGGGTTTAATGGAAAACAGAACAGGTGAAGATTACAATTTTGGGTCCAGCTTTTGTGAGCTTGAGGACTTTGTATTTACAATAGTAAGCATTGACCCTTTGTTTTATTTGACATGTAGTTGCTATAATAATGCACAGACATCAAACCAGAGCTTGCATTTTTTAAGAATATTGTTTGTGAGTTTTCTGATATTTATGAAATAGTTCATAGTTTTTCCTTTTTTTCCAATGGTGATTGGCTTGGACAGTTATGGTTGAAAGGCGAAAATTACAAAAAACATTATCTGAATCATAAACAGCCATTGGTACTCCACATTCTCATCTGTTGATCAGCGTAGGAGCAAAGAGACAGTTAAAAGGACTGAACTGATTGATGTCATTGAATGATTGTGTACCATAAAAAGCCTCTATAATGCTTTTTGTGTTTTACGTTTCCTGTAGTGTGTTATAAAGGTTTTTGTGCACGTAAATGGTCTGCAAAGGCTAAAATTCCAAAGTTCCCTCAAGGGAGAGTTACTGTCCATCACACCCCCCCTGCCCACCCCGCAGACAGAGGGTGAAAAAAAGTATGAGAAAAATTAAGTACTTTGTGAACATTTAAGCATGTCACATTAGAGGCACAAAATACAAATACATGTATGGCCCTGAAAATATGAGGGCCCCTTTAAATCCTATTTAGACCAACAACATGGAAGACTTACAATAATGTTGATTAAAGCTTTATAAAGAAACAATTGCTGGACCTGATGGTTGGACCAGAACAGGGTTGAACATTTTAGCCTATGTGTCTCTGCACTGATTTATCTTTTATCCCACCCTGTGTTTTATACGAGTGAGTCAAATGGCAAGAGGCATACAGGAGGCAAAGATCACCCACTGAAAAACACACAAGTAACATCTAACATAGTGCCAAGTTCCCATACACACACAAACACACACACAGAGAATCATGGATTCACAGATCATGGTGTTCAGCCAGGTGGAACAGCTAAGTCGCTGGTATTAGATTCTGTCTCCTTGTAATAAATACACAAACAGCAGGTGAAGGACACACACACACACACACACACACACACACACACACACACACACACACACACACACACACACACACACACACACACACACACACACACACACACACACACACACCTACGTTTTGAAACCCTGCCAACCATCAGCTCTGGATTGATACGATGCCAGATGAGTTTGGAGATGTGGATATAATCATTTGTTTTTCTTATCCAATCCCTTGTTGGAAAGCGGTGAAAAAACAAGCTGCAGGGTCACACGGTTTTCTTCATGCAGTGTTTTTCAGTGCTTATTATTTTTGAAGGGTCTCTCTGTTGCTAAATATGGTATAGTAAACAACTCTGTTTTCTGCTCAGGAAACAGCATAAAAACATAAGTTTAGTTTAGTGAGAGTGGAAAACTATTTAATTTTAGTCTTAATTCAGTTTTTAAATCAAAAGGTATTTATTCCCAAAGATCTCAAAAATAAATACGCTTTCTGTTGGTAATTACAATGTTTGTTTTGCATTTTGTTTAGGTTTTATTTTCCAAATTTTATTGTGACTCCCAAACATGGAAAATATGCGAATTTGCTGTGGTACTTTACATGCAGATATATGAAATTGTACAAATCAAATATATACAAAAAAAACACATTAACAGTGTTCACTTGTGCACTGGATTTACAAGAGACTTTTACATATGTGAAGTAAGAAATAACTAGTTTACCCTAATGTTGCAAAACAGTAAACAAGTTGAGCTGGAATTGCTAGTTATCTACTGTATGCATTATCAGCTAATTCAAATTGAAATGTAAAGGTTGTATTGTCATATGCACAATATATCCACAGTGTAGTTGTTGGCAATGAATAACCTAAATCCTAGGCCCATCCAATAGTGCTGGATTAGTAGTAAGCAATGGTGGAATGTAATAAAGAGCATTTACCCAAGTATTGTTCTTAAAGAGGACATATTCTGCTCATTTGCAGGTTCATATCAGTATTTAGTGTCTCTACTGTGACATGTCTCCATGCTTTAATGTTCAAAAAGCTCTTCATATTTCTCATACTGCCTGTGCTGCAGCACCTCTTTTCACCCTCTGTCTGAAACCAGAGCCCAGTCTGCTCTGATTGGTTAGCTGGCCTGCTCTGTTGTGATTGGTAAATCACTTAGAAATGTGTCGGAAATGTCCCGCCCCTTAGCCTATCACGTATGTGTTGAAGTATAGCCAGTAGAAGCGCAATTGTTACATTGTGATGTTACTATGTTACGGAAGTAAATGCAGGAGTCCAATGGAGGCGTAAAAAACACACTACAAGGAAGGGGAATCCCCAGAAAGCAAATTAGGTCCTCTTTAAATAACTATTTGAATCCAGGACTTTTGTAATGTAGTATTTTAGTGACCTTGTAGTATTTTTTGAACACTCATTATTTCATTAGTTTCCTATGCTTTTTACTGACAGTGTTGGTTGATATGCAATAAGGTTTGATACATCTATACCATCACAGACAGTGATGTTATTACTGGATTATGGGAGAATGTTTTCCTTAAGTCATTTATTATCAGCATGTAGAGAGCAGAAAGGAGAACTATAAAAAGGGTGCAAGTGACTCGGTATGTGGAACACAACATCAGGAAGGGCGAAGGGTCACTTTGAAGACCAACATGCAGGTGTGCTACTCAGGCAGAATGTTAGCTCTGACCTGGATGTGTGTGTGTGTGTGTGTGTGTGTGTGTGTGTGTGTGTGTGTGTGTGTGTGTGTGTGTGTGTGTGTGTTCCCCAGCTGTGCAGCAGAGATTACAGATGGCTCTCAGTACTTTGTGCTGCTGATGATCACAGATGGAGTGATATCTGACATGGTCCAGACCAAAGAGGCTGTGGTCAATGTGAGTAAATGGACACACACACACACACACACACACACACACACACACACACACACACACACACACACACACACACACACACACACACACACACACACACTCCCTCACACACACATATGAACAGAGACTGATGGATAGCAATGCTCTTCCCTCAGTGTCTCCTGCTACTGATTAAAAATTGTTTTATGGTGTTTGGATAAAAATATGTTGTCATGTCCCAGCACTTTGTACTTCAGAAAAACAGTAGAAATAAAACTTAAATTCTCTCTTGAAGAATGACACCAGGGAAAGGAACGTTTTTTTTTTTGTTTAATCATAATTGATCATACTTTTGTAGTGAGATCTATAGTAGTTGTTTATAATGTCAAATTAGAGTTTGAGAGGAGTCTGATCTAATTAGGTCGCTTCTGAGTGATGTTTTCTTGCAGAGACATATTAAAAGTAAATAATTGTTTTTTTCTACGTCCCAATAGCTTTTTAATCCTAATAATGATACAATTATTTTTCTTTTTTTTTTTCTCCATTTGCACAATTTTGTGTCATGTAGAGTTACGGCTTGGAAAATAAAAGGAATTGTTGTTTTAGGCTCAGGTAAAAGCTTCCCCTTTAGATTTAAAAACACATTTGAATCAACACAATGCTTACTATACCAGAATAATCTAGCTCTGTAGAAAGAGGATTCACCTGAAGCTTATATATGCATTAATATTATCTAAGGGTATTATTAATGAACTGGTGGTCTTTCTTCTGTCTCCTGCACAGGCCTCATCACTCCCCCTGTCCATAATCATCGTAGGTGTTGGACCTGCTGAGTTTGATGGTGAGTGTTCTGCTTTCGGAGCAGGTCTATAATTCTTCATGTCATCATGAGCAATCTTGAGGAGTCAGTTAATCTTCAGAAGACCAAACGTTTAATCAGTGTCACAGTCATGCAGTGGAGAGGGCCCTAAAAGCAATTCAGCTATATTTGGAATGAACAGGGGAAAACCACAAAAAGTTTGATCTGATTGGTCTTAAATCTTGAAATCTAACATCTTGTATCGATATTCAAAGTCAGGATTTTTTTCAAAAATAAGAAAAGCATTGTGTATAAGATGCCACACTGCCCCATACCACCCGCAAACACAAAACAAAGATAATCTTTACTTTGTTTGCTGTCACGATAGCTTCTCTCCACTACTTTTATCATTGGGTTTCACCAAAGGCGGACCATAGAGACAGAATTCAAATATGTGGATGTAAGCTTCAAGCTTCAGCTCCATTAGAATTCAAATATAATATAATAATTATAAAGAAAATAATAATAATAATAATAAAAGTTGCTCTTTTTTAACATTAGGCTGAAAAATGTGCATGCAAATTAAAGTAAGATTAAAAGACATGGCCGCTAGGCTAATTTATGCATTGTAAAATGCCATAGGCCTTAAGCTAATAAGCTTAAATAAACAGATTCCCCCAGAAATGTTCCTCACAATCATGATCAAACTGTAATGCAATTATTAGAGCAAGAATAATCTTTCTTATTTAGCCATGTCACAGATTATTCAAAAAAACGACTTTAATCTCACCCTAAGCAACCCGAGAGCTGTTTTTAAACATAAATATAATTTAAACCAATCCAAAAGAATAACTTGCACATCAGGTAACACTTTGTGCAGTGATTGGACATTGCTGGTTGACTTTTACATGCTCTTTTTAACCCCTCCCAAAGGAAATAGGTTACAAGCCGAAGACTTCTGTTTGCCCACCTACATGTCAATGAAGAGTTTCTCAAAGTCTTTACCGTGGCTTGACTTTTACCTAAATCTTTTCTGTTTGACAGTAGTGCCCTAAAATGCTAATTGTTTGTGGAAAGAATTGTCACACACATCAAGAAAGCTAATAAATACCTGTGTATGTGTGACCATTGCACTATCGCTTGTGTTAGGAGCACTAAGTTGCCCAAAGCCAAGGGTCTTATCGTACTCAGGCGCTGCTTCAAACACTTCTCTGAGCAGGCTTTCCTACACGATCTGGCGGAGGTTAAATGGCACTTCATAGCGTTAATTCTATCTGTTGCTGTCTAATTCTTTATTGATCACTTTTTATCGATTATTAATAGACATGCCCCCCTTAGAAAATTCAGAGTTAAGAATAGGAACACTCCATGGTCTACTAGAGAACTATCTGAGCTCATTCATGATCGAAATAAGCAATGGTCCTTAGCTAGAAAGTCTAACACTAGTGATGACTGGCTTCTTTTTCGTGTCCTCAGAAATAAATGTTCTGCCCTTATTAAAAAAGCTAAAGCTGATTACTATCTGAGCTTAACCACTGATTGTTTTAATGACCATTCTAAATTCTGGAAAACAATTAAATCACTTCAGAACAAGAAGGTTTCTAGTTTCCCACAAAAACTGAAGGTCAGTGATTCTTTTATTTCAGATTCAGATGGTATGTCTAATGCCTTTAATGCTCATTTCAAAAAGGCTGGTCACATTTTTGATGAGCAAAGTCATGACTCTCTAAATGGTCGTACTCACAGCCCTAGTCAAGAGATGATCTCTCCTATTTTTGATTTTGCTTCTTTCTCGGTCTCCGAAGTCTTACAGGGTTTGCACTCAATTGATCCTAAAAAGTCTGCCGGGCCTGACGGCCTCGACCCTTTCTTTTTAAAAATTGCAACTCAGATTATAGCACAACCAGTAACTGATATTTTTAATCCCTCCCTGTCCACTCACACACTGCCAGCTGTGTGGAAGCAAGCTCTGGTATCGCCCCTCTTGAAAGCTGGTGATCCCACTGAGTTGAATAACTATCGACCCATCTCAAATCTTTCTGTGTTATCAAAGATTCTTGAGTCCCTAGTTTCTACTCAGCTAAAGCTCTTTTTAAATTCACACAACATCCTTAACCCTATGCAATCTGGATTCAGATCAAAGCACAGTACTGTGACTGCCAGTCTGAAAGTCTTAGACGATATTAAGGCTGCTTTGGATAAGAAATCAGTTTGTGTTGCATTGTTTATTGACCTAGCCAAAGCATTTGACACTGTAGATCACCACATTCTGTCTAACGTTATGTTGGTGTCTCGTTTCGGTCATAATGCCTGTTAGCGCAATTAATGGCTCACCAACTTGAAATGTTAACACAGAGAGAGAGATCAATAAAACACAAACACAGATATGGTTGAGATTAATTATTATTCAGTTGCGCAACAACAAATAATAATGGAGTACATCACCTTCTGCCACAGCAGCCAATCGTGGGAATGCCCCCCAGACTAGAAAGATCTTGTGTGCTTTATACACGTAAAACACACACAAACATACACTTGAAACATACGTGGCAGAGATAGTTGATATGTTAATATGTTCCAGCAGTGGAAAGGTCTTTATCTCATGACGTCTTTAGGAGTCTTGCAGGATATGAATTATCCAATTAACAAACTATATATACGTTTGCACATGACCACACATACATTTTCCTTACATTAGCCAACACACCAACATCCTTATCGTTTCTTAGCTAATGCATGCTGGATATGAACCACTAACTAACAAGACTTTCACTGTATTATATCTGAGGAAGACCTCCCTTGGACTTCCTCTGATTTTGGCCAATTTACTTAACGTGGGTACATCTTCTAATAATTGCAGAAGAGACGATAAGCCTCTCTAAATCTGGAAACTGTAATTCAATAACATAGTTATATTGAGAAGGTCCCAGCCTGGCATAACATGCCATTTGCTGGTTTCAGAGTTATCTAACCGACCAAACTCAATGCGTCAGGTTGGGCAGTACTGTCTCTGACCCTGTCACCTTGGAGAAGGGAGTTCCACAGGGCTCTATTGCTCTTTTTATTATATGTAAACAATATTTATAATCAGATGCAATTTTTCTACCTATCATATGTATGCTGATGACACTATTGTATACTCATGTGCTCCTTCTTTCGATATGGCCGTTTCCAATTTAAAATCAGATTTTATCACGCTGCAGCATGCGCTTCTTGATTCCAAACTGCTATTGAACAGTAAGAAAACCAAAGCAATGCTTTTTGCTCCCAAGTCAGCGTCCTCCTCTTGCCTCTCCATTGACACCCTTGATGGCGTTTCTGTTGAGTTTGTTGATACCTACAAATATCTGGGCTTTTGGTTGGACAGTAATCTGAACTTTAAACACCATATTGAAGTTTTAACAAAGAAATTGAAATTCACTCTTGGCTTCCTTTACAGACTTAAATGTTGTTTTTCAACTTCATCCCGTAAAAGGTTGGTCTCTGGCTTATTCCTGTCCCAGCTGGACTACGGTGATACCATTTATAGATTTGCCTGTCCCACTGTTTTGGCCAAACTTGACCCACTTTACCATGCTGCACTGCGTTATATATCAAATGCACCCTATAGGACTCATCATTGCACACTGTATACCCTAACTGGATGGTCCTCACTTACTATGCGTAGGATGCAGCACTGGTTTTTATTAATGTATAAAGCCATTTTAGGTAAGCTTCCTCTGTACATATGTGTCAGATTTGCCCCAGTTTGTGACTCTTACAACCTCAGATCCAGTGCCTGGATACGGTTCCAGGTTCCTGCTGTGCGGACTGAGGCTGGAAAAAGGAGTCTTTTTTATTATGGTCCTTGGTCTTGGAATGACCTTCAATCAAGACTCAAACTGAGGGCACTTGTCCCAATAGCATGTTTTAAATTGAAGTTGTCTGAAGTCCTCACCACCAGCTGCTCTTGCAGTAATAAGTAGTGTACCTTTCTTACTGTCCTAATGTGCACAATGTTGTGACTGCTTTTCGTCTTTTGTTTACTTAGTTGTGTTCTCTGTATTTGATATGTTTGTGTTATGTGTTATGTGTAACGTTGCTGCCTTCTTGGCCAGGTCAGCATTGAAAATGAGATTTTATCTCAATGCTTTTATCTGGTTAAATAAAGGTTAAATAAATACAAAATTAAAAAAACGTTCCTCAGTATTACACAAAGCATGTATCCTTACAAAAAGGCTGAATGTATTTTTTTAATATGGGGACCTTCTTAACAAGATATGGCACCACTAGTGCTCGACCCACAGGAAGCAGCAGGTGCATGCACTGAATATAGTTAAATGTTAAATATAATTAAATTCAACAACTTTGACATTGTTATGAATGCAAATATGTGTGACATTTTAAATGAAAGGCACCATTTGACTTTGACCTTGGCTTTTAGCTGACTTAATAAGACTCTTGTGAGCAAACAGGAAACCACTTGAGCAGCTGAACCAATGTCCCCTTTAGTGTTATTCTCTGTAGTTCACATGCATTTTTGCAAACACAAATAAACAGCACAATAGTCTGTCTTTCTTATCATTATTATTTTGCCGTGATTACATTATGTATCTGATCTGATTAGTCAGAGATTTATCATACAAAGTGGAGGCCTCATAAATCCTAGGAGAGATCAGCATGTTTCTCGAAATGTCATCCTGTTTTAAAAAAGAAAATCATATAAGGGATTTTTTTGGCCCTCTAATATTTTCTTGTTTTGTCAGTGCCTTTTTGCAGGTTTAACCTCTCTTTATGCTAAGCCAATTTCCCATGACAGCGGCACACCTCCATGCTTTTTCCCAGATGCAGGAAATACTGTAAGCTATTGTGCCAGAATGACTCCTCTATCAGAGCGCAATTTAAGAGCAGGTGCTGTTTAAGCTATTGAACTTCCAGACGTGGCCAGGATTATTTTGGGTAATGAGTTTTGTTTAAGAAATGGCTTTTTCTTTGTTGGTATACAAAGTGTTCCAATCATTCCCTGCTGAATACCTGTTCTTACTCCTAAATCTGCGTTCCACTTCAGCAAATATGTTGTGGAAATCCAAAAGAACATCTTGTACCCTCTTTTAAGTTCTCCCTCAGTGGTTCCACTTTTGAGTCATGCTCTCTCCCTGTCACTTTCTCTCCTTTTAGCTATGGAGGAGCTGGATGGTGACGAGGTGAGAGTGTCCTCAAGAGGACGGCTTGCGGAGAGAGACATTGTACAGGTACTCACCATAATTCTGTTTATCGTGGCAGGTTAGACCTGAGCATGTTTGTGTCAACAGCAGCTGCACGGGGAGTTATCCCCGCAGGAGGAAGGCTGGCATTCACAACAGACTCACACTGGGAACTGCCTCATGCAATATACAGTACCCAGCTATGGTGGGCTCTGGTTTTATTAGTACACACCACTCAAAAGTCCATGGGCCAAGAGTAAACCAAAGGGCTAAGTTTAACTCATTTAATCCCACATATTTCAGATACATTGCATACATCATTATGTGGAGTGCAGCATGCAGCACATTGAAATATTTGAAATTCATATATTAAAATTGAACTTCTGTCAAAATTATATCTACTAAAAAACAACAATAGTACAACGCAAAAAACTACTCTCCAACCTAAAACAAATGAAATTACAATGGAATTCACATTTTTCTCATTATATTGGACAGGTTTATCAAAATTGGCTGTAATAGTGTCCTAACATAACATAAAAGAAAACATAAAAAACTAAATATTTCTTAAAACATAAGTTACATTTCCATGGAGACCTTTTTTTTAATAAATTATTGTATTGTATAACTTTTTTTGATGCCCAACATTTACCTTATTTTATTATTAGAAATACATTAAGTAAGACTAGCTTCTTTGAAAATTGTATCTACAAAAAAGGTTTTGTATCTAACAAATCAAAAAAATCCACCTGTCCAATATAAAAAACAGAGACATCCCGAGATAAATAATGAATTGGTTTTGTGTTTTTACTTTAATGGAAAGCTTTATGAAATGTGTTGAAAAAACGTAATCTAATGGATAGGTAAATAGGTGTATGTACCGTAGAGTGCTTTTGTTCTACATTTTTATGTGACAGGCTACATGGACCGCATTTTATTATTCAAAATGAATTCATAAATACACGCTCCTTTCAAAAATGTATTTATAAAAAGGTGTTTGTATCAGACCTATAACATTTTATTTTGAAAGGTTCTGTGTTGGCTCCTTGAAGAATCCATCTTCAGCTAGTATATGGATTTGTCAGTCAGTATTACAAAAAAATCACATTTCCATCCATTTGTACATTTCACAGCAATCAAGTAAACAAAGCAGTTTTGTCCGGAACAACAATTGTTTTTTATGTACAACATGTCTGTTTTCAATCAAGATCCAATTAGCAAGGTTGGTGTAGATTGATGGGTCCAACCCAAATATTTTACCCAGGAGGCCGCAGTTTGTTTCCATTTTCAAAGACAATTAATATTAGCTTTTTATTTTTTAAGCTAACATCATTCACTTACGTCAACAACGTAAAACACGTAATGTACACACGCACAGTGTGTAAGTCGGCAACAGACATACACATTTTAACCCAAGCCATGGTAGTATGATTTACCTTGACAAGTGGTTTTGTTTGAAGTCACTTTTACCACAATCCAGGACAAAAATAAGTTCCACGTCAACTTCTGTCATCCAGAATTTCATTTCACCAACACAGTTTAATACATATTGCTAAAAAGTACATTTTGTGCTGAAAAAAATGATGTTTTTGTCGAAAAACTAGCAAGACATTTCCTACCCCAGTCTGCTCTCAAAAGCTCTTCCACATCCATCATTACAGTTAAAGTCAACAAGAGTGACTCTCTTGTGACACACATGCACACACACACACACACACACACACACACACACACACACACACACACACACACACACACACACAACACACACACACACACACACACACACACACACACACACACACACACACACACACACACACACACACACAAAGCCAGCTCTTTCTTCAAATTGTTTTGCTGTGAGTTTTCATAAGGAGCGAGCAGAAACCCCAGGACAACAGTGAATAGTAATTTTAGAAAAAGCCTGAGTTGAGAACACAAATACAATGGCCTGTGATAACAATGTCCTTTTGAATTTGTGCATACAGATGTAGCACCTCATTTCGGACACCCCTACCGATGTGCGGCCGTGATCGGCACGGGGTGGGCCCTCGCTGAAAGGAAAACCCCCCGCATGACTTGATACGCCCCCTTGATAAATTATAATGAAACCAGCTGCAATGGATCATGGATCCACCAGGGGGAGCAGTGATTAAAAAGCTGCCACACTGGAACTCATGTGAAATAAACAGCTGATAGATATATCTCATATAGCGGATCTTCACGGATAGGATCATATTCTGTGCTAAATAAGAGACATGTAATCATTTACAAAACATCACCTTGTTTTTATTTAACAAAATAATGTTGTTTAATCCACGTACTTGGAGCTTGGCGTACTACAACTACAAAAATAATCGGTTTGTTTTTTCATCAGGAAATCCAGCCCGGCTCAAACAAACGATTTTAAATCATCATCCTCACGATCATTTAATGTATCATATGTTCGCCGAATTGACATGAAAGCACTAACAAATATGAATTTGCTGTAGTCAACTTTATTAACGTGCCTAAACTCAGTAATTCACTCAAAATAGGTTTATTTTTAATGGAGCCTCGTCGTCTCACAACAAGTGGGATTTATCTTTTATTACTATACTGTACTGTAGTAGGAGAGGGAAAGTGGCAGAGCATAGGGTATAATGAAAAATGAGCACTTAGAAAGATAAATGCAGAGTGTCTTCTCGAGGAGATATCTAAGTATATACTGTAAGATAACCAAAATGTAATTCTAGCAGGTGGCAGAGGCTATTCACCGTGTCTAGTTATTTCAACTGTGTCGATTTCAATTATACGGCATGAGGGTATCATCAAATTACTACACACTTCTAAGTTTCTGCTTTTGTTTTGCTACTCCTGACTCAGAAGTAACTTAGACCTACAGACTTTTTTGTAAAACATCAATGCATTACAATAATGCAACAAACTGTGTGCATTTCACACCATCAGTAGTTTCCTACCTGAATGAATCCACCTCTTAATACCATCATTATGACGTCACAGCTATAGAAACGATTGATATTGTACAGAAACGCGGTATAACAGGGCGTTGCATCACAGACAGGTATATAATGTAGTGAGAATGAATGCCATCATTAAAGCAAGAAACCCAGATAACACAATTCAACAACGCTCCTTTCACCGCAGCACTGCAATAGAGTTTGCAGTCCTCCTCGGAGACTGTGAGCGAAGGTACCGCTCGTAGTTAGTGAATCGAAAGTGGCGGACAAACCCTTTCCCCGGCTGCGACAGCTTCACCAAATCCATTTCTCCTCCGCTTTCAGCCATTGTGGGTTGAAAAAACTGCTTTAAAATCTAAACGGAAATATTTTACCTTGTGCAGGTCGCCAAGGAAGCTACAGATTCCGTTGCTAGACGGTCGCTACACATGCTAGTGTTTGCCAGCATTGCCAACTCAAAATCTGATTGTCAACGCAACAGTTTCATTGCCATTTATTTTAAGCTACAAGGTCCGCACTATTGATTCTGAAGGTCTTAGGCAGATTCCTTTGACCCAGCAACACATTCTGACTTAAATATGATTGGATAAAAGCTCCAACATTGACAACCATTGCTAGAGGCAGTGCAACACAGAGAAAAGCTATAAAATAAAGAGTATAAACTATTGGAAATATTTTAGTTCATGAAAAAAATTATATTAAAAGGTTAGTCACTGATTCTGATAGTGTTTAGGCCAGCAGAGAAGGCCTTGCTGACCCTGACGGCCCACCACTAGGCCCACATCAGGTTGGATCATGTATGTGTTCATATAAGATAAGATATACTTTATTGATCCCAATTTAGGAATAAATTGGGATAAAGCATCATGCAAACAAGGCAATGCACACAATGTGAAAATGAAAAGGAGTACGAAATAAACAGACATAAACATTAAATATAAACTAAACTATCTCAAAATAGAATTAAAACATAATAAGTAAATATACAATGACAGTGAAAGATATATATCTGAAGACTATCTGTCAAATATACACCACGAAGGGCAAATTACAGCTAACAATTAGGATATTATTAACATTGAAAAACAAGTATTGATGCTGTATTGATAATGCCATCATATTTTCCATAATGTTAATCATAGTCCTGCCCCCACACTTAATTTTGCTCACAGTAATCCCTGGATTGCCTTTTACATTATTATGACATTCATTTTATAATGATTTTGCTTGGCCAAAAAAAAGTGCAATCATTCGACGTCTCCATGTATTCTTGTTGTTTTTAATAACATATAATGTCTGCCTCCCCTGCATTGAAATTCCTGTTTAATATTAAAGTCATATAGAGTGGTGCAATGATGACGTATTTTTGCTGACCCGAAAGTTAGCATCACAGTGCTCCCTCTGCAAAAAGCAATGGAATTTACCCATTGGATTTCAGTATATTGCAGAAAATAAGATCTGTGTCCAACACACGTTTATGATTCACGTTTTGTTCGGAAGGATGATCTCCATATTTACACAACTATGTGATTTTTGAAGCGTAAATGCAAATGCCAGAAGTAAAATGCTAAAGTAATGGACTACATCACTCAGCTAAGCTAAAGGCGGCTAGTCTTAGGTTTGATTAAGTTTAAGCAACTTTTAGCACAGAAAGCTTTGCATATATTCAATGTCCAAGTTATTTACCAGAGAACAGGTGGAGACGTGTGTAGAATACAGAGGTGTTGATTATAGTATTCTGATGAAGTTATGTCCAATATGTGTTATTACTGAAATGTATGTTGGGGTTGTAATTGCAGTATACAAATCCAAATATGAACAGGTATTAATAATTCTCCTATTCTGAAACAGTGTTGCTGCTAAATGGACAGAGTTCATGGGGGTTTTGAATTATATATAATAAAATAAGGGCTTTTACATAATGTGTTCAAATGTTGCGTCCTACAGTAGGTAATTGGTAAGTCTCCCATCACCTCCAACATGGCATATCTAAACTTTAAAAAAACATCATACTTTTAAATTAATATTCATCCATTAGGAAAAAAAGACTTTAAAATAATGTTATCAAGCCAATTTTAACTTAATAGTTGAATAGGATTTTTTTCAGTTCAGTCTGTTCAAAATATATTTGCACCTTGTTGTTGCCACCAGCATTAATGAACTAAAAATGTAAATAAAACCCCAAACTACAGCATGTGAGCAAAATTACAAATGGACACAACGTGTGTCTGTACTGTCTCCCATAATAAAGTTGGGAGCACAAATAACCTTCAAATAGAGATGAAAATAATGAGAAAATGATTAAGGGGATTCACTGTGAGATGAAGTGGGGGCGGGCAGCCCTCATGCTCATGATGGTCATTAATTAAAGCTTCAGCGGCAAGATAAGTTTAAAAATCCATCAGTGATGCATCCGGGGAGAGATCAGAAAACACTTCTCTTCCTTAATCACATTACTTTCAACTCCCTCTCGTGAACCAGGGGCCAAATATGTCACCGGCATTGTGGGTAATTGTTTGGTAAAAATCCTGTCAAGTCTTAATGAAGCATTATGTACTGTATATGTCTTTTTTTTATAGCTTTTTGGCTTATACTGTATAGCAAAAATCAACACTAAAATCAAGCAATAATTCTAGTAGACAGTCTGAATGTAATCATTATTACATTACATGTTACTTACATACTCAATACTGTGGGCAATCCCCACAGGAGCAATTTGGGGTGAAGTGTCTTGCCCAGGGACACAACGACATGCTGACTGCAGTGGGTTTTAAACCTTTAAACCCACCCTGATCCGAACACCCGAACACCAACGCACTAGACCACTACGCCACACGCCTCCTTTTCATCCATTGCAGAATTAAAAAAAAAACACCTGTTTTGCCATTAAACCTAACACACACACACACACACACACACACACACACACACACACACACACACACACACACACACACACACACACACAATTGTAGTACTCAAAGGGTTTAGCTCATTTGAAACTAATGCAACAGCACTTATAATTATTTGGCTTTTTGAACTAGTAATACCTGCATTTTCTTTTGTTCCAAGTTTGTATCTTTTTGTTTAATTGCACTTATTCTTATTAATTGCACTTAAATTCAACTTGCAACATTTTAAACAAATCAGACCCTTCTTAATTGTCAGTGCTGCAAAGTCATACCTCCACTGTATGATTCTATCCCACATTGAATACTGTTTGACAAACTGGTCGTTTGCTTGTGCCACAAACCTGAAACCAATAGAACAGCCAAGAGAGCTATCAAGGTTTTTGACAGAAAGCCAAATTCATACCACCACTTTTTTCATCCTTGAAAAACACAATTTCTTGAGTTTTGACAATTTTAAGTCTTTTAAAAGTATGTGTATTTTTTATAAATGTTTACATGAACTGCCCCCCCGAGCAGATTTCGGTCGAGACTGGCGGAAAGTTTGTCTCAAAACTCTGTGTGTGTAAAAAGACGATCCACAAGCAGAGATTTGAGATCCACAAGCGCATTTTTGGTTGACAAATACAAAATGGATTCACAAATGCCTGATCGAAAGTTGTCAATGTTAAAGAGATATTCACAAATTCCTTTTGTTTATTTGTAAATTAATTATAGTATTCACTGATCTTTTTTTTATTTGTGAACATATTTTGCGTATTTGCAGATCCGTTTTACATAGACGTGCAATCACCGCTAAATGCACTTTAATACAGGGGTATCTCCTCTTGCACTTTAGGTAGCTCTTGTATCTCCTCTTGCGCTTTATATGTCGTTGCTGCTAGATTGTACTGCCATGTGGTAAATGCTTGTGTGTGCTTCTCTTGCTCTTTTGCACTTTTTGCATATCATGTATTTGTTTTTGCTATGTGTATAATTGAAATTAGCTCCAAGCTAAAATCCGGCATATTTACACTATTTGCATTTTTTTGTTTTAAGTGTTCATTAATGTGCATTGTCCCTGCTAAATAAACGATTACATGAAAGGAAATGAAAAAAATGTTGTAAGTCCCTTTGGATGGTATCAGCTTAATTACATTTAAAGGGACCCAATTATTATTTTTTGGTTTTCCGTTTCCTGTAGTGTTATTTCGTTTTTTTGTGCATTTAAATGGTTTGCCCCCTTGCCTGTAACGCCGCCTTTATTGAATTCCCTAACACAGTGACATCATTATGTAACACTACCGCTCCAACACATTGTACTTGATAGGCTAAGGGGCGGGACATCTCTAAGCAGTTGACCAATCTCAACAGAGCTGAACAACTAACCAATCAGAGCAGACTGGGCTCTGGTTTCAGACAGAGGGTGAAAAGAGGAGCTGGCACAAAAAACAAATATGAACCTGAAAATGAGCATAATTAGGTCTTCTTTAATGTATTATGAATAGCTTTTTATCTTCAAAATAGGAATTCATCCAATGATAACATTCTCACTGAAGCCATAACAAATTAGATTCTTTAGACTTGTATGATCTATCAAACACAGCGCTTAAGTGAGAATTAATGAAGCCATATTGAACATTAAAGAGGTTGTCTAAAGAGGATGGATTTCCTGTCTGAATAATGGCTTGTTGAAATTACATTGTGACAAAGACTCAAGTTATCCTTTGTTCATGATGCCTCCAAACAGGGACCTTATCAATATACAAACCATAGCAAATGAATCTAAACTATTGTTCCTCCCTCTCCAGTTTGTTCCGTTCAGAGACTACATCGACAGATCTGGTAACCAGGTCCTGAGCATGGCGCGGCTGGCTAAAGACGTCCTAGCCGAGATCCCCGACCAGCTGCTGTCCTTCATGAAGAGCCGAGGAGTTGAACCGCGCCCGGCCCTCTCCACCTCACCTCTACCGGAGCTACATCGGCATATGTGACTCCCACACTCTGCCTCTCCACCCTGACTCTCTCTTCCCCTCTCTGCTTATCTACACTCACCTCCCATACAGTCATTTGTCACTTTAAAAGGAGCGGAAGGATCGACCCGTGACTTGCCCTCTTCCTGTCTTATCGTCGATGGGGGGCGTACCATACGATGCAGCAGGCGCTCATCCTTGACTCACCCGCTGCTGTTCTTCATCTCCCCTTCTCTAACTCACCCTGTTACATAGCATTACTTTACAGAGCAGTAAGCCTGAGCCACAACTGCCCCCTCTTGCGCCCCAATGACAATCACTCACAGCTTGACATTTCAGATGTGTCTGTTAATTCCCCTCCTGAGGGACTTTTAAAGCAGAGTTTTTTTTCCTTTGTCCTTGTCCTCGCCAAGTCTTGACACCAGTTACATTTGGCAGGAGTGCAAGAAAGTGCCAGACACTAAATTAAATAGAAGCTAGTCCCCAAATGAAAGCAGAGCTCTTGATGAGCAATAGATGCCAGCTTGCATCAGGTGCTCTGTGGGTATTTTTGGCCGAGCTCTGACTGTAACACATTAGAGAGACTGGTCGTTGTGAGGACAGGTGTTTGTGATTTACAGTATACCATCATCGTTATTGTCAAGCAGTTTCGAATCTCTTGAAACTGAAATAGAGGCTGGCAAACAATCCGTTCAGGTTTTGGAACTGTGAGACGCACCTTCCCAGGGGATGAAGAAGAGTTGAGGGGTGGGGGTGGGGGTGTAGAGGGACAGAAGTGACATTCTGGGTAGTTTGGTGTGTTGATTTGTTCCACTTATTTCCACCGTCAACAGTTAGAGCTGCAACAGTGGATGTGACATGCAGCTCATGGCGTCAATTTAGATACTTCTAATGCCCGTTTGTCGCAATTTCTGTCAAACATTATACTCCTTCTGCAAGTCATGAATCACTTAAACACAATACACATATTTTCAGATTCACTTCGACTCAATTTCAGGAGATATCACTATCTCCGTGTCCATAGTGTGTAAACACCAATGAATTTGCAATGAAGTCAAGACACTGCATTTAACCAACCAAGTTGGAACCAAAGGTTTGGCCAGAATACTTTTTCTTCAAACATTTTGTTTATGGTCATGATTTTGTTTCAGTCTCTGTTGTTGTTGTTATACTCATTTGGCCACAAGAGGTTGAAGTGATGTCTATATAGGACCTTCAACCCTAAATGTTATTGTTCACTATATATACCTACATTACACAATTAGTTTCCAATTCGACTATATGGCATTCTCAATTAAATTTCAAATAACTGTAGTAGTCAATTAAAAAACTAAAACTATTTGTAAGAAGAGAAACTCCCTAAAACCCTTATTTACAATTCCGTTATGTTATATGGTAACGTCATCTTCAAGAACATTCAGTTCTAACGGTTTTTAGGTAGTCTCCAGTATCATAGTGGCCCGTTATCGTTTTATGTACATCTGTGACTACATTGTAAACAGGAACTGCTAATACGCCTATCTGATTCAGCATACTCATAATGATTGTCAAAATGTGAACAAATCCAGTCCAAAAAATGGGACTCAACAATCTGTAAACCGACATCATATTTCTTGTTTACAGCCCCTGTAATTGGAACCTAGTGGCAACATTTGAGTCAGGTTCTCCCCCGAATGACAGTCCATCAAAGAATAATAACAGGAGTGACAAATCCATTAATATTGCAGGAGTGGGGGTTGCAGTTGTCTCGATTCTGTTTGAGGGGGCCACAGTGTCCGACTTTGAAACCCCCCGGATTAATCCGACCAGATGAATTAGTGACGAGAGGAATATTGTGATGTGGAAGTCACACAGAGGGGAGCAGACAAGTGTTTGCGGGTGTAATGCGGGGGTTCCGGTCACGTGTTCATTATTACAGACCTTCAGACAGTGCTTAGACAAACACACACATACACACCTCTGTCTGCTACACAACAACCCCCCACCCCCCTTTATCTTTGCCCAGCGTGGGCTGAACCTGGGTGCAGATTCCCCCCCTGCTGTTAGAGAAATGCCAGTCTCTCCGGCTGCCCTGCAGAGAGGAGGAGGAGGAGGGAGGAAGGAAGGAAGGAAGGAAGGGACAGGGAGGAGGGGGGAGTAAAAGGACGAGAGATGGATGTGTCAGATAGTGAGTGACGAATGGAAAGAAAAGAAAAATGGGCCATAAGGGTGAGGAGACATTTACTGACAAAGGGAAGAGATCAATCCATTAGTTTGATCTCAGCAGGGAAAGATATATGGGAGAAAGATATATGGGAGAAACAGATGGTGGCAGATGAGGAAAAAGGATTGTTACTTTGAGTTTATCCGAAGTTTATTTTTTCTTTGCGAATACATCTTAATCAATCCCAAATGCACATTCTCCGAAAAAGCAATATACCTGATCCCAGTGTAATGTTTCCCTCTGCATGTCCCTCCCTCTCCCCTGCCATGACATGACATTTTATTCCCAGGCAGACTGGAGCTGTATTCCAATGGGCAAAGTATTCCACCTAGTGTTCATCATATGTATAGCAGGGTATCTTTATTATGCATGACTACTGTACATTCCTATACTAACTCACACAGTACAGACCTGATGCAACTGTCCTTACTGATATAGTTGATGGTATGTGCAGTGAATTCCGGCGTTGTAAAGAACTACAAACACGTATGTTCTCATGTAAAATGTGACGTCTCCTTTTTGAAGACTATCAGTGTGATGGTGGTGGCTTAGAGGGGTGTTTATGCTGTTCCATGTGCCATGTATTGGTTTTTCTAAACTTGTACAATCATTAGGGTTGACCGTTAAAAGATGTTGCATGTTGAGAAACGCCGTCAGGTGTTCAAGTAGTCGTTGTCATTGCAACTGATTGTGGAAAAAAAAAAAAAAGGAAAAGAGAAGTATATCTCGAAATAATATGCATTTCTCTTGTGTCACTGTACATTTTCATTTGTAGATTTCAGAACTTGTGTGCAGCGTCTTGCAGAAAATATTAAATAAATGGAACGTCACTAAGAGACATGTATTTTTGATATTTTGAAATGATATGGAAAGCTCCCAGGGTCACACAGTAATAAACAAGTAAGGTCTCTGCAAGACACTAATGGTATCAAAGAGTATTCCGATGGCACTTAGTGTGAATTTTGTACAAGGAGAGCATTTTTGTCCGTCTCTTACCTTTGTCTTATGGCTCTATATGTGTATATGCTGCCCATAGTGTTTAAGCAATGATAATTTTAATTGTATATATATATACGATACAGTACATGATGATATGTTTTCCGCTCGTTTGCTTACAGTAGAGCTAGGAAAGCCTTTTACATGTGTGTATCTAAAAATAAATCTATATTGTATGTTGACGTTTTTATGAATGTCCAATAAATAAGAATGTAGAAGTTTGAACTACAAATACGGAAGCCTTGAGAGAAAATGGATCACCAGAATGATTATTTTTTTCTCTTGCCTTAGTTTGATCTCCATTGTCTTTCAACTTTGTTTATGACTCAAGAACATTTTTTTTAATCTTTGAAACCTGTAAAAATAAGGTTTTGGTCAATATTTTATTTTGTCAAAATCATATTTAGTCTTGGTTGTTGTAATACTAATTTCGACCACAAGAGGCTGAAGAGATGTTTTATCTACTGTAAAGGACCCTAACCCTAATGTTTTCATCCCAGGTATTACATTCCATGCACTCTAAACATACATACCTATAATGATTTACCTTGTGTTAACCTGTTCTTACGTAACAAACAGGAGAGAAAGCAAATTAGATCAGACCAAGATAAATGATCCCCGATTAATTTTGCCTCTCAGGGCTTCCGTATAAATTAACTGTTTGACAAATATGTTGTGTTTTGATATAAGGTTTGACTACATTTGTGTATTCTCCTTTCTCCTGATGAACTGCAATATAGTAATATCAAACATAAAGTGACACAGTCTGATAAGTTTATGTTGTTGTTTGTCTGCAGAAAGATGATTTAGTGTGTTATGCTGTATTCCTGGAAGTGAATTATTCTGTTACACTCCTCAGTGCTGAGCCCCCTCCCATGAAAATGAGTTCTGGCTTGAAATGGTTGATTCACTAAACAGATTAAAGATCTTGAAGACACTTAACTATTCATAATGTTTGCCTCACGACTGATTTACAGCACTTAAGCAAATAAATATAGGTCCTGACAGAGTTGTGATGTAAATATAAATTATATAAAAGTCTGAAATTGTAATAATGGCTTCATCTCTGTGTGCCAGATGGACTTATGTAAGCAGTGAGGTAGCAGAAACCTCCAACACCTTCATTACACTTAAGTTTACTATGAATTAACAGGAAAAAGTAGGTTTAAAAATGTGTCAGATGCAACAAAGTAGTCCAATAGCGACGCTTGGTCAGGGTCCTTTGGCGTGCAGTTGAGATGCACCGAGTCTCCTTCAGCTTCATAAACGGACGCAAAGAGCTTTCAACTGATTGCAATGTATTCCCATCGGCGGCGGTATTTGACGCGCAGGGAAGCACCGCATCGGTCCATGTCAGCGGCAGTTAAAGGCAATGTGAGCGTCCATTCCCATTGGATAACGGAGAATTTTACACCAGGAAGTAAGTATTCTCCTTACTGTCGATTGATTTTACAGTGATATCTGCACTACTCATCAACTCAAACACACCAGATTATCCTTGTTAATTACACAACATTGATTGGTTTAAATGGTGTACAATGCTTTTGTGTTTTTAATAGGGCTGTTAAGTTAACGCAATTTTTTTTTTATCGCCACTAATTATTTTAACGTGCGATTAACACATGTGTATTTGTCCTCGCCCGCCCCGTAGTTTCACAGCCCAAAGGCTTGACGTTGTTGTTGTTGTTGTTGTTGTTGTTAGTTGGATGGTGGGAGATTCTAGCGAGAGATATGGATACAAAAAAAGGTGTTTTAAACAGCAAGCCAAGTACACAGCTGATGCTCACTTGCGGCAGACCACACTTGAAAGTTTTCCGGGGAGACGCCTGGACACGGCGTCTACGAGCAGCAATCTTTCAACAGCGATAGCTAAATGGGTGGCTAAAGCTTGCAGGACAATTAACATTGTGGAGGACGAGGGACTGTGTGAGATCATTCGGATCGCGTCCAACGTGTCGACTGCACATCACAGCGCATTATTTTGACCCTAGGTGGGAACTTCAGTCTCATGCTTTGACTGTTATGAAGACAGAGGAGCGGCATTTCGCCGACAACTGTAAACAGGCTTGTCTGTTTGAGCAACTGGCTCAGTGCAAAGAAGTAGACAGGGTTGGGAGAGAGTGTTAGAGAGAGAGAGAGAGAGAGAGAGAGAGAGAGAGAGAGAGAGAGAGAGAGAGAGAGAGAGAGAGAGAGAGAGAGAGAGAGAGAGAGAGAGAGAGAGAGAGAGAGAGAGAGAGAGGTTCCAGGTTGTTGTATTGAAAATATTCAGGAGAATATTTTGTCATTGTTCAGAGGTTGTTGTGTTGAGAATATTCAGGAGAATATTTGTCATTGTTCCAATGATAATAAACAAACATTTGCATAAAGCATATTTGTCCACTCATGTGTTGATAAGAGTATTAAAAACTTGAAAAATATTCCTTTAAGGTACATTAAGAACAGATAAAAAATGTAAAAAATGTCCTCCAGGACTTTTTCAAGGCTGCAAACGGAAGGAGAACGTTTTATGTTAGTTTAGTGGTTCTGTCCTGGAGAGATGATCATTTTACAAAATACAGTTACTCAAGTACATCTTCGATCTTCGCAAATCAGTTATGAGTCTTCAAACAAATCACGCTCAATTTAAGGTGGGGCCTCTCATATGACGCACATATGGAACAGGCTAGCACACTTGCTAGCCTGTTCCCTTCTTCGTTCTCCAAATGCCAGGAAGGATTCTTGCCTAGCCTCTGAAGGACCTGACTCGGAAGACATGTCCTACCAAGGAAGTGTCCTCGACATTGAGAAACACCCCCTGTCTCTATACTGATCAAAAAAGTTGTTTAATTGGCGAAAAAAAATATGGCTTTATGTTCCACTGGGGCAACGGGGAAGGACCTTTCTCAAACTGTTGCCACAAAGTTTCAATCACATAATTAATAGTCTAAAACATTGTATTCTATTGCATGGCCATTTTTACACCAATGTCCACATACCTTTGTTTAAAGCACCCCTGAGTTGATTGGAGGTTATTCAGATCACCTGTTGGCTCCTAATTAAGAGTCGAGTGCATTTCCCCTCTCAGCCAATCAGAGTGTAATGACGCTGTTCCTTCCCTCCACTTAATACACATGTTATTTCAGCAGATAGTGTCAGAGAGAACACGCATTTGATCATTTTCCCTTGACTAATTATTGAGTTTATTTGGAAAGTAGTGAACCTGTCTACAATGAAATCAACACTACTCGCATTACTGTGATCATGGTTATATTGGCAGTGATGCATTACAACCAAATTTGACATTTTTACAAATTGATTTTTTTTAAGATATATCCATTCAAAAATGAAAACATTATTTGTCTGGTGGATGGTTTTGATTTGGAAAAGGGTTAGTCATACTGGATTTATATGTGTAAGTGATTACAAACATGTACATGTGTCATGGAACGGTTTGTTTATTAGTATTACTTGTGTATGCTGTTATGCAGAGACTAGAGGAGAAAAAGAGACTAAACAGATCACTGTATTTCCACAGAGGAACAGTCAGTGCTGCGCGCGCCGTGACGACCTATTAAACATAATGACTTAAAGAGGCAGAGGAGAAGCTCTGCTTGGAAGTAAACATGCCACGAAAAGAGGTGTTCTGGAGCACCCAGGAGTCAAAGACAACAGGATGAGGGTTCATTCAGAGAGAATGAGAAAAAAGCACAGGAAGAAGAAATGTTAAACACATTGAAATAAGACAGCAGAAAAACTGATATGCATTTCCTGTAAATGGGAATAAAAGGACTTTTATTTCCATTTACCCACAAGCACATCACTCTCCTGCAGCTCTGGACAGCAACAAGCTGATTCTGATGTCATTGCAGCGTTCTTTTTTTCTTTCTAAACATCATTTTTTATGAGAATGTGGAAAGAAACAAGGAACAACATCTGGCAGAAACGTGTTTTCTTTTTTTGAAAGGGACTTGAACAAACCCAGTTTTGTGAGACTTTGGGTAATAGGTCAGAGAGGCTTAGCTCAGGGAAACTTTGGGCAAAGAGAAATAAACGCTAGAGGAAGAAAAAGGAGGCACACTCGAAGCTTGCAGCTAGTGGCTTGAGGGCTACTGAAGTTTGACAGGCTACTGTAGGGCTATGCTCAACACTTTAACTGCTTTGACTCACGTCTCAAAAAAAGTGTATTAAGGGTTTTGTGCATGTTCCAAAGTGGTTTCCTCAGACTTTAACTGGAAACAAGTTAACTGTACCTCAGAAAGGCTAAATGATCCATTACGAGAGTCATGTATGATCATTCGTAAGTGACAGATTCCGTTGGACACACTGCAAGTAAATGCTGAATAAATAATGAAGGAGAAGTAATCGTGTCAAATTTTAAAAGACGCAATAAAAGAACCACTAGTATTACCAATACCAACAATGTATCCTCTGTTTTTCCACTTACCTCACCGCTTTACTGCTTTATAAAACAGCTTTTTGTTGTTGTTGTTGTTATGCTGTCACAGCTGAGAGGTGCTGTGGACAGAGTTATAAACCAAAGAGAAACATGGCCAGAGTCGGCACAATGACACACTGTGTAAATCCATGTAATATCTCTCTTGTGGGGCTGAGACTAAAGAAATAGGTTCACATTTTATGAAAATACACTTCTTTGCATAGTTAGATGAAAAATTGGATACCACTTTTGTACAGTCTGTTTGCTAAATATACAGCTACAGTTGGTTTGTTAGCGTAGCATAAAGACTGCAAGCAGAAGCAAACAGCTAACCAATTGGCACTGGTTAGCTTAGCGTAGCATAAAGACTTCAAGCAGGGGCAAACAGCTTTGCTCTGGTTAGCTTTGCGTAGCATGAAGGCAAAAGCAAGGGCAAAAAGCTAACCTAGGGGAAAACCCATTGGGAACTCGGTATGAGATAGAGCACACTGTTGAGATGTCCAATCTGCCTGTTTTACACACTTTGACCAACAGGGGGGTTTGTGTTCAAATGAAGCCCATGATGAAGCCTCATGAGATGAACCCTTTTGCGAACCAATTGGCTGGAAAGCTTCAAAGCTTCATAAGGCTTCATCTCGCCATCACTATTACACGCTCTCGCATTTTGCACCATATCTACCTTCATAGAAGGGCATGCATTGGTTTGTGGCAGGACACTGGATTTCAAATTATTCTGCACTCCATTGCACTTTCTGGCTATTAAGGTTGTTACGTGCCGTAGTGGGTAGTGTGTGGGTGTTTGTGTGTCTCTCTCTCTTTCCCCCTGATTGTCTCCAGGTGCAGCCTCTTCCTCAGGTGCTCCCAATCCCCAATCAGGGCCTCCATAAAGGACATGAGAAAGGCTGCAGTCGCTCTCTCCTTCTCCTCTGGCTGCATGTGTGCAGCATGGTCTCTGTGTCTCTGTGTGAGGCCTAGTTTAACGTGTGTGTTGTTCATTGTTAGGAGATGTGTACCTTTGTACCTTGTTTAATTTAGTCACTTTCTGTTAGAAAGTTGTTCTAGTTTATCTTGTTTACTTTGCAAGTTAGCTGGTGAGCCCTTTTTCTTTGAATAATTAAAAGACCATCTTGTGGCTTCACAAACCGGTTTCCTCTCCTTTTTTCTCTTGCCCGGTTGTTTTGTATTTTGTTACTTCCCTTTGGTTCCCCTAGTCCAGTAGGGAACTTAACAACGGTATTCACTTACAGTAATGTGAGCTGGAACTTTGGATAAAATCATCCACTAAATGGTTTATACACTCTGCCACCAGTGTGGGTATAATTATGCTAACAGTACTTGGATGAAATTGTGTCTTACATATTCTACTTGTCTCATTTAAGCTAATTATCTTAAATCTACTCACAACTGATTATCTCAATGTGAGCAGGCAGTCCAAAGTTTGGCAACACATTTCTTCCTCATCACATTATCTCTCTCTCTCTTCCCAGCAGTGGAATCTGTGAATGGGCAGAGACATTACTAAAA